TCTATCCTGAGATCTTAGCAACACATTTAGATCTGTTCTCTCTTTTGATCGGTTTCATGGTATTCCTCAGTATGAGATTTCCTTCTACTCTTCATTTTTTCATTATTAGAAATACTGACTGGATGTGGTGATGCATGCCTAATAATCTCAGCACTCAAGTGTTGAGGCAGGTGGATCCAGAGTTCAAGGCTAGCCTGGACTAGTGAGTCACTCTTTCAGAAAACCAAAACTAAACAAAAGCCTATCACAAGGAAACAAAAGTTCAGAGAACTTCAATGACCTGATCAAAGTGTCACAGAGAGCGCAGGGCAGGCTGCGTTGACCACAAGAGAAGTGATCCTATGGTGGCATCCTGTTTTTATATCCTACTTTGTGGGAGTACTTTTCTGTGATCAATGTTTAAAGGTAAAAGGTATATGTATTTCAAATAAACATAATACGTATTATAGGAAAATGAATATTACTGAATTATAAGGTAAATAATGGATTGTCTATTTTTTTCTTTTGGCAGTACTGGGCATTGACTATCCAGGGCCTCATGCATGCTAGGCAAATACTCTACCACTTTCCTGCCCCTCCAGCCCATAACTTAAGCAGTTTTTGTGTGTGTACGGGGGAGCTGTTTGAGACAGCTCTCTTGGTGTAATTCAGGCTGGCCTTGAGGTCACTATGGAGCCTAGGTTGGACTCCAGCTTGTGGGAGTCCTCCTGTCTCAGCCTTCCAAGTGCTGGAATTACAGGTGTGTGCCACAGCACCTGGTGATATAAGCTAGTTTTGAATGTTAGCTGGTTAGTGGTATACCTAGTGTATCTGAACATGCAAGTGTAGCTGCATAAAAACAAGTGGGGTTTTGTTGGTTTGAACATGAGAGTTAAGTGTATTGTTTTGCTTCTTATTCTGGCAGTTGGCAGGCTCCACGTTTGGAATGGGAACAGTCAATCCTTTTTAGAATAGCCATTACCCTACCTCTCAGGATACAACCTCTGTCTGTTTTATTTTAGAAGAGACCTTGTCTTTTGTACTTGTACATGCAAAGGAACTGAATGACACATGGTCATTGAAGGAAAGGTAAAGGTTTGAGAGTATGACTAGGTTCATGGATGGTAGTTGTTAATTAATTACTAATTCTTGAACTTTTTTGGCATTTGGTTTGGTTTCCTCCTTTGGCCTTTCTTTAAGGAAGTGAGAAGAACTATACAGCAGTTTGATTAATCACACATACTGTTGTCTGCTTCTTGGTTCATTGTATGACTTCGTTTGTGGTCGACACAGCCCCTGTCTGCCCCTTTAAACATAGCCCCTAGTAAGGCATTTAACTTCTGAGCTTCCTGTATTAAATGGAACGACTGTGATTCAGAGTCATGTAAAAGTATGTCTTGACAGCCAAGTCTGTTGGATTGCTGTTTGGGTATCTAGCCTTCAGAAAGTAAGTTTGGGTATCGGAAGATCTACATTTTCTTAATATATTCCAGTTCTGAGTTTTGGTTTGCAAGTAGCGAAAGTTTCAGTAGTAAGGGATTTGAAAATTTAAACAAATTGAGTTCCTGAGTTTAGATAGAATGTGGGCACTGAGTCTGGGTAGCAAACAAGAATTCTAAGTATATGATTTTACTTTGTGTATACTGAAAAGCCTTACCTTTCATGCTCGGCACTGCAAAAAGTTGGGCAAAACTCACCCTTTCACAGCTCCAGCAACCCAGGCTGGCACAGATCTAGAGTTAGCTGCGTCTGCCTTCAATTTGAGCCCAGACAGACTTTTTAAAGGTGATCTCTTCACCTGTTTCTATTTGTGGCACAAAATTTTGCATAGTAAGTTCATAAGAATGTAGTTGATGATTATAATGTTTCTTTAAAAAGTTGATAGAAGTTAAAATGGGAAATTAAAACTAAAATTTTATTCTTTTTTTGAGGCAGGGTCTTGCTGTGTAGTTTTGACTGGCCTCAAATTTGCAGTGACCCTCCTGCCTTAGCCTCCTGAGTGCTGAGATTATAGGTTTGTGCCACCGGGCCTGGCCAAAATTTTAGTGTTTCAAAAATAGTCCCTGAAATATTTTACAATAAGTATGTTTACTATGTTATTACTCTGAGCTGAAGACTGGAAAAAAATTAAAGGCAGATTTATAAAAGTGAAAGGTATACACAACTAAAAGGTTTCTGTAGAGTTTAACGTTCGGTGTGGTTTTTCCTTTATGAATTTCTAAAGAGTCTTTCTAACATTTTAGTGGCTTTTAGTTGTAAGTGAAAGGGGTATTGCGTATTGAGTCCACATTTGAAATTTTTGTGTTGAATCATAATCCAGTATAGCTGTTTAAATGTACAAGACCTAAAAGCAAAATATAAGTAAGAATAGTCTATAGTGACACCTAGGGATTCCCCTTGCACCAGATTTTCATCAGTTGCTGGTCCTGGAAAGGTTTTGTATTGAACATGAAGTGATTATGTTTCCAGGTATTTGGTATCTTCTGCAAAAAGCTGTTAAAAAATATTTGCCACTCAATTCCTTTATTTTATTTTTATTGTTTTGTGGTCAAGCCAGTAGAACCTACGGTCTTGCTCCTTGATTACTGAGCTACCTCCCTTTCCTGCCATTTTAAAAAAATTTATTTTTTGACAGGGCCATGTTAAATTGTGTAGGCTGACTTCGAACTTGCACTCTTCCTGCCTTAGTCTTGTAGAGAGCTAGAAGTACAACATGGTCAGCACCACGTTGGTTCTTACTGAGGTTTTTAATAGTCTTCTGTGGACTTAAAAAATAACCTATAAACATACCTTTATAAAGAATACAGTGAAGAATTCATTTCTTTGAGAGAAAGCATCTGTTTTATACTTTTTTGGCCATTTCAAGTATTTATTATTAAATGTTAGTAAATGCTAAATGTTACTGATTTTATGAGTAAATAAGAATAATTTGTTTTAGGGTCCTGATGAAGAAGCTGTTGTGGATCTTGGCAAAACCAGCTCAACTGTGAACACCAAGTTTGAAAAAGAAGAATTAGAAAGTAAGTTTGTTTAAAATAAGTTATTATATCTAGCAGAGTGAGTAACTGATTACGGTTTGTTATTTTTCTTTAAGTTCTACCTACTGTTTGTTTTTTGAAACACTTTTTTTTGTTGTGAGGTACAGTATATATTGAGAAGCATGCTGGACATTTTTCCTGTATAGTTTCTTCTTGCAGCAAACATCCATATAAACATTGGCTATGTCTAAAAATAGAACATTTCTGAATTATTTACAGTTTGTTGTAAAAGTATTCGCATAAGATGAATATGTTTTCCTTCATTTATTTTTTAAAATTAAAAAAAAAAGACTTGAGAAAGACTTTCAGACTTCACAGATAGTTACCATTTCCTGGAAAACTGAAAGACCACAGTTACACAATACATTAGTTCTTTTATTTATTTTTTCCTTCTGGCAGGCTTAGTAATTTATATTATAAGCAAGATAGAGTACCAGACTAATAAGCCATAGTTATCATTAGTTGTCATCTAAATGTTCATTTTATAGGTCTGTTGCATCAACCTTTTAAAATGCTACAATAACCTCTGCATAGAATTATGGGGCATGTGGTTTCTTCCCTAAGTGGGAAGAGATCCTGGCAAATGGTCTTTTTTTTTTTTTTTTTTTTTTTTAAATAATTTTAGATTTACAGAATAGGGTGCCAAGGTAGAGCACATTCCTGTGTGTCTTTCACCCAGATTCTATGAATGTCATAATATTTTTGTGAAAATGCAGATAATATTAGCTTGTTGCTAAGTTAATTAGTAATTGCTAATGTAGTATTAATTCAACCACAGGTTTGATTTGGAATTTACTAGTTTTTTTAAACTAATGATGTTTTTGTTCCTTGATGTAGTAACGCCTACAATTCAGGATCCTCCAGTAGTACTTTTTTTTTTGTGCCTGGAATTGAACTCAGGACCTTGCACTTGCCAGGCAGGTGCTTTTGTGGTTGAGCTATCTCCCCAGCCAGTACAGTAGTACTTTTTTTTTTTTAAAATTTAAAAAATAAATGAAGGAAAACATACTAACAAACAGACATCCATTTACAAAATAGCATAAGAACAATACAAACAAAACAGAGTTACAGACAAAGCTGTAGGAAACCACTTTGAAGATACAGTAGTACTTTTAATTGTCCTAGCTCCCTAGTCTCTTCTAATCTTCAGCAGTTTCTCATTTTTCCCTCGTCTTTCACGACTCCAACACTTGTGAAGCACTGTGTTAGGTGTTTGGACAGCACCCCTCAGTTTGGGTTTGTCATGCTGTTGCAACAGGAGCAGACTGAGAGAGTGGACTGCGGGCTGGAGCAGGAACCCGCTCCCCGCGCTGCATCTTGTCTGTGGACTTGTGATAGCAGTGTGGCTTATTGTTGGTGCTGTTAAGGCTGAACTCTCGGTCAAAGTGGTGTTCATGGCAAATGATTTGTAGACATTTTGGGGCCTTTTTAAGGAACTGCTTTTTCATTGTTAAAATCTGTGGTACTGCTTTTACATCACACTGTTAATTTGTTGATTTTGAAAGAGTTGGAAAGAGACATAAGAATTCTTGTTTACATCTGAGATTTTTTTTAAAACTGACTTCAGAAATCTAGATTTACTAGGGCTTGTGGAAAGGTACAATATCTGTTATATATTGTAACAGAGGGCACTACAGCCAAAGCAAATGCAGGAACACAAGGTTCAATCTCCTAGTCTTTGGGTTCTGTTTTATTCTTATTTGTTTTATCTAGTCTTTCTGAACTGCAGATCCTCAGAACTTGTTTTTACCTTGGTGCTTTGCAGTTTTGTACCAGACCATTCGTATGGAGCGTCAGCTTTGTAATTCCCAGTGCACGGTGATGGGAACTTGATTTATGTTATATTTTGCTTGGGGTTCAGCAGGAAATAGTTTCACTAAAGTAAAAAGATAAAATCAGTTTTGTTTTAGCATTGCTTTTTTAGTAGAATGTGTATAATTCACAGTGTAAAATTCACCATTTTAAAGTGTGCAGTTCATTGCTTACATTAACTATTGCCACACAACCCTCAACCATTCTGTCTGTGTCCCTCCCTTCCTCTCCCCTCCCCTGTCATACTGGGGTTTGGACCAGGACCTTCGCACTGAGACACATCCCTAGCCCTTTTTCATTTTTCTTTTTATTTTGAGACAGAATCTTGTTATGTCTCTAAGTTGCCCAGGCTGAGCTCAAATCCTATCATCCTCCTGCCTCAGCCTCTTAGAGTGCTGGCATTATAGGTATGTGCAAACATGCCTGGCTAAAACTAATACCACTGTTAATCCCAGTAGTATTTCTGTCTTTTTAAAAAGAAACCTTATATAATTAGTTTTTAAATTTGGAATTTCATGTAAAATTTTTTTTCTAATTGAGATTTCATTTTTGTAGATGTTTATTGAGTGCTATCTATGTGTTGGGCAGTGCTGGGTTGTAGATGTTTAAACAAATAACTTTAACTGGTATGTTTCCATAAATCTATCGATTTTTTTACTTTAAAAATTGCTTTTTTAGGGGGGATACTAGGAATTGGACAAGGAGTGCTCTCCCACTGAACTACATCCCCAGCGCTTTTTGTATTCTATTTTGAGACTGGGCCTTGCTCAGTGGCTCAGGCTGGCCTCAAATTTGTGATCCTCCTGTGTCAGGCTCTGGACTACCTGGGATTACAGGTGTGTGTCACCACTGGCAGGTGAAACGAGACCTCAGCATCACCTTTGTCACCTTAGCTGGGAGCGTGAATCTCAGGCAACTTGAATATTTGCTATCTTTGCACATTCACAGGTGACCTTGAAATCATCATGAATATTGATTTCGGAATTACAAGGAAATTTTACTGCATCAGCAAATTTGGAAGTACAGAATCAAAAAATGTTGAAAGTCAACTGTACTATTCAGACTTGTCTAAGAAAGAAGATTTTCTTAAAAGTGTTTATTTTCTGACCATCTCGTAGAACTTACTGGGAAAAGAGTGTCATCAACTTCATAATTCACTACATTTTTCAGATTTTGTATATGAAGACAAAAAGCAGCTCTATGCCAGATGTTTTTTGCATATTGTACATTAGCTGAATTGGTAGTCAGTCCATGTCCCTCTTCACTCAGTACAGATAGGACCTTCATTTAAACTTTAAAGAAGTCAAATTCTTGCTTCTCAGTGGTTGACATAGAGCTGCTCGCTCTCTGGTTCCCTGATTCAGTTTTATTTAATGGGCAGAAACAGAGACTACCTTTCATACTGTTTTTTTCTTTTTTTTGGTGAGAATACAAAGTCAGGATGATGCAATATCAGTAGTGTTTTCTGTTCCAAAAGCATGTAACAACTGTATTGCTTTTTAATTAGTCTTATAATTTCTACCCTGTAATTGGAGTATTTGGATCATTTACATTTAGTATAGCTCTCAGTAATTTGGACATTGCCATAGGCATAACATCCTGTATGGTGCTCTGTAAAATAAGGGAAGTAACAGGACACTACTATTGTTAACTGTTATCTTGTATATGATTCTTTGTAACCAGAGTAAATTCTGGTGTACTTTTGTGAATACCATGGTATTCCCTTTTGAAAAATTAGTACTGTATTTCTGAATCTGTCATAGGTCACCGAGCAGTATATATTGGTGTTCATGTACCATTTGGTAAGGAGAGTCGTCGACGTCATAGGCATCGTGGACACAAACATCACCACCGGAGAAGAAAAGATAAAGAATCAGATAAAGAAGATGGACGGGAATCTCCTTCTTATGGTAAGAGAAAATAGTTTCTCTCTTTAATAGTTCAGTTCTTTCCTGGAAAATGTGTTATATTTTGATTCTTTTATTTTAATAACTTAATATCTTGATTAATTTAGAACTTTATATAAATTAGGGGGTACTTATTGAAGTAAGATCTTTTTTTTAATAAGGCAAATATTTGGTTAATAGGTTAAGATCTCCTTAGTGTAAGTGAAAGAAAAAATAACTTTGTTTCTTCATTGTATTCCAGCCTTGAGGTTATAAAAGTTAAGAAGTCTTGTCATGTACCTTCAAATTTAGTAGGATTTTATTTCCTTTTCTTTGCCATGTATTTCAGTACTACATGTGTTGAATAGACATCTGGAATATTAAGGCTCCTGGACTACATGGATGGTTTTATTGATTTTTTTTTTTGTGCCTTTTTAAAATCACATTTTTGGCTAGAAGATCTTATCTATTAGGTTAGTAAAGTTAGGTATGCTGTACTACTGTTGGCATTTAAGTGCTATACACTAAAGCTAAATTTTTGTGAAGAGACATGGAATGACAAACTTACTATGAATAACATAGCTACAATATGAATCTAAGTCATTGATCACCAAGATAGATATGCAGGCAGGTAGGTAGGTATTGATAGATAGATAGATAGATAGATAGATAGATAGATAGATTTTATTTTGAGATACGGGCTTACTAGGTAGCCAGGCTGATCTTGATTCTTTTACCTGTCTCTCCTGAGAGCTGGGCTTACAGTTGTGCACCATCATGCCTGACTAGCCAAATACAAATATCAACTAGGTTTTGACATGTGTTCCTTTATTATTTAATTTTCTCAACAATTGTTTTCTCTCTTTTTTCAGTTCTGAGGATTGAACGTAGAGCCTCGTACGTGTTAGGCAGTGGAGCCTTACACATTCTATGCAAGTGCTGTATCACTGAGCTATACTTTTAGCCATTTCTCAAGAGTTTCTAAAGAGATCTTACTCTTTTCATTTTATAGATTAGGAAACTGCAGCTCAGAGAGACTAAAAGGATCTCTTAACCTCTGCTAAGAGACATTGATGACTTAATAAAATATTAAATGGTTATGTTGTTGGCAAAGGTCATGTAGGTAGCAAAGGGAAAATGAGTACTGAATTTAGAAAGCATCACTACTGAATTTTGATGCTGTGAAGTGAGTTAGAAGAATTTTTGTGTTCCAGATGATGTACCTACCCACTTTAGGATAGCTTAGGGTCTTCTGTGATTATACATGTTGAACGTCTATATTTCACATTGAATAAAAAGGCACATGATAGTTTTATGGATTAAAATGATGTTTATTGAATTATGTTTATATGTCCACTGAGATAATCATATCTCAAGCCAAAATAATGGAGAAATAATTATGATGTTGAAAATATTTGCCTTTTATCTCTATCCATCTTTCTGTAGTACTGGAGAGTGAATCCAGGGTAGTGTGCATGCTAGGTGAGTGCTCTAGTGCTGGGCTACATCCCTCAAACTTTTTTATTTTGAGATAAGATCTCACTAAGTTGTCCAGACTGATTCCAGACTTACGATGCTCCTGCCTCAGCCTCTCAAGTATTGAATTTTTAATGGAATGATTATTCCTAGGAAAGATGTATATCCGTAGAATGTGTTCATTCTATATCAAATAATATAGAAAGCAGTACAAATAATGTCCCTTTCTTTCCTGTTTGAAAAAGAGATTTACACAGAGCTTTTGCTGCTAGACATGATGAAAGTAGAGATTAAATTTTCTCTCCCAATTTATTACGCAGTTTATTCTTTTTGTTGTTGTTTTCCCACTGCTTCTTGAATAGCATGGAGGTATGCTATTCTTGGCTATGCAGAAAGGCCTGACACGATCAGAGGGGGCTTTCGTAAGTGGAAATCAGTATATTAGACAGGAAATAGATGTGACAGAAGAAGTAAGTGGATATAGTAATGTAGGATCTAATCCAAAAAATGTAGGCAGCCTTGAGAGCTAGAAAAAGTAAAGCTATGGCTTTTCCCTGAAAAGCACCAGAAGGAACTACCAGCCCTACCAGCAGAATAGGTTTTGTTTTTCTTTCTTTTGTCTTTTGAGGCAGGGTTTCGCTGTGCAGTTCAGGCTGGCCTAGAACTCACTTTATAGTCCAGGCTGGCCTCAAACTTGTGGCAGTCCTCCTGCCTCAACCTCCCAAGGGCTGGGATTACAGCCTTGTGCCGCCACACCCACCTCCAGCAGTACATTTTTTGCTTTGTAAGACTTATTTTGGACTAATGATGGCCAGGACTGTAAGAATTACAAAATAAATTTGTGTTGTTTAAGTCTCTAAGTTTGTGTTAATAAGTTAAAGCAAAAATAGGACAGTAATGTATTGACTGAGATGGAATGTATGATTGTTTCATAATTAAATGTTTATCAGTGTAAAGAAGCATATAACAATATAAAGAAGAAAAGTCATACATTTACCACTGTAGGCCCAAAATAAGCTTCCAAAACAAAGTCAACCCCCTTTCATAATAAAACTAAACAAACTAGGAATAGAAGGAAACTTCTTCAGCCTGATGAAAGGCACCTATAAAGAAACCCTACAGTAAGTATCACATTTAATGTTGAAAGACTGAATGTTTTCTCCCTATGGTTTAGAAACATGTAAGGATGTCCTCTTTTGCCACCTTCATACAGTGCTATAGTGGAGCACCTAACTAGAGGCATAAGGCAGGAAAAAAGAGGCAAAAGATTGCAGGGAAAGGAGGGAAATTGTCTATTCTCAGATAGGATCATGCAGGTAGCAAATCCTAAGCAGGTTGTAAGACTACAGAACTGAGCTATATTTTAAATGTTCTGTTTTATCTAACATTTTCATACTTTTTTTGATGAGTGAAAAACAAATTTCCAAGTTGAAAAAAAATGATAAACCCAGAACCTATCGGAAAAGTTTCCAGTGTGTATATGACATGGGTCTTCATATTGACAGAGCACTGCGAGACCTATGCAGAACAAATAAAAGCAGGAGTGAATTTCTTATTGTTACAATTTCCTCGCTGGAGTTACTCTTTTCATCATTTTGCTTAATGTTTTATGTTTCTGTCTTATCTTTGCTTCTTTTCCTTAGTCATTTCCTCAGATTTGTCTTTTTCTTTGAGAATTCCTTCCAGTCTGGTCCTTGTATTCTAACCTGTTTTGATATGCTGTCTGTGACATCCACAATGCATCTCTCATACTCAGAGTTTCATTTTGCTTTTAATTACAAGTCTTAAGGTTTTTCCCTTTCCTTAATTATTTATGCTGTCATGCTGTCTTTGGGGGTTCTGTAACCTACAGGTGTGTTAGTCTCAGGGGCCACGGATGGGATATCTGTTTCTTGCAGTGACTTTGCCTACCTCCTAACTCCAGCTGACAGTCTTGTTTCTGCATCACTGTAGGAAAAGTTGGCTTCTATGTATCTGTAACTTTAAGATTCTAATCATTTGGGTTGTTGGCTTATTTTTGCTTGTTTCAAGAGTAGTTACAAACTTAGTTTGACTTATCTTTAATATTTTTTTTCCTCTGCTTTGGTAATCTGTGTGATACTCTTTTTTGGAGACAGTCTGGATTGTTGATCCTGGTTTTCTGTTTTATTATGATATCTTAATAATTTAAAAAATGTTTGAAATAGGTTTGTTTACAACAAAAGTGCTTGAATTTGTAAACTGAATTTATATTGGAATTGAATGAGTTGAGGAAAATGTTGAGTGTATCTAATTTTTATTTCATCAAGACACACCATCCCAGAGAGTCCAGTTTATCCTTGGTACGGAAGATGATGATGAGGAGCATATTCCCCATGACCTCTTCACAGAAATGGATGAGCTGTGTTACAGAGATGGAGAAGACTATGAGTGGAAAGAAACTGCGAGGTAAAACTGCGGAGTCACAAATTTTAAAATTGGTTTTAACTCTCCTTTTTTCTTTTGATAATGAGAATGTTAAATTGAAATTGTGAGATATATCTGGTGCTTTAAGACAGTTGGCAGAGAATTTCTTTATCAATATCTGGAAATTTCATATTTCTTCTCCCCTCTATTTTCAAGTTTTCTCTTAAATAATCCTTTATTTAAAATGATACAAATGAAATTATGTTGTTAGAGATTTTAGTGAGTATTTTGTCAAACAAACAAACAAAAAAATCAAAGTCTTTTTTTTTTTTTTTCCCTCCTTGAGATAGGGTCTCACTGTGTAGTCCAGGCCAGCCTTAAGTTTGCCTTGTAGCTGAGGCTGACCTTAAACTCGAGATCTTCCCTGTCTTAGCCTCTTGAATTTATATTTGAATGAATTGAGGAAATCTTTGAGCTTGCAAGCATGTGCCACCTAGGTCTGGTTCAAATGCCCAAATCTTATGTAAAGATCTGTAGCTTAAAAGAGGACTCGCAGGGGCTGGTATATTGAAGCCCCTACTTTTGTTTTCATAGGCTTGTTATTGTGATATCTACAATAGACAGTGTGACTATAGCCATTGTAGACATTGGTCTAATTGGTCTAAATTCTGGGCTGCTGGTAGTTTTCTTGGTTCCTTTTTAAAGTAACAAATTTATGTTTATCATATGAAAAACACATGGAATATTTTTATACAATATCTTTACTTATTGTTTGTTCAGATGGCTGAAATTTGAAGAGGATGTTGAAGATGGTGGTGACCGATGGAGTAAACCCTATGTGGCAACTCTGTCTTTGCACAGTCTTTTTGAGCTAAGAAGCTGCATCCTAAACGGAACCGTCATGCTCGATATGAGAGCGAGCACCCTAGATGAAATAGCAGGTGACTTTCATACATTTAAAGCATGCTATGGCTGTGTCCTGTGGGGCATGAAGCCAGTTTTGTCGTAAAGGCTCATTGTTGTGGGTGTGTAATACCCATGTTTATTCTTTTAGAATATTTCTACTGATGGATTACTAATTTTGAGTTTTATTAAACAATCGGTACTTCACAGGAAAAAATATCAAAATATTAAGTATTGCATTTTCAGCCGGGGGTATAGCTCAGCGGCATAAGCATCTGCCTGGCAAGTGCAAGGTCCTGAGTTCGATTCCTGGTACAAAAAAAAAGAATTTTTAATATTTATTGAGTGTTTATAAAAAGCATCAAAATTTTCAACACTCACTATTTTTTGGTGTACAGAGTCTAAAAAATAACAAATTCCTATGTGAACTACAATGAAAATGCTGATAGAACTCTACAAAATAAACTTCACTTCAATTATCACACGTAAGGCAGTCTACGCAGGACAACAGCATGTTCCATATACATATATTGCTTACATGGGTCGCACGTGTTTTGCTTTGCTGGCCTTGTAGGATATACTTGCCATCTTGCTGGTCTTGTTTCGTTAGGAGGTTCTTACTATGTTATACAAAGTGTAGTTAACAGGAACATAAAATATCAATAAAATAAAGCGTTCTTTATTTTATTAACAGACATCCATTTACAAAACAGCATAAGAACAATACGTGCAATACAGAGTTACAGACAAAGTGGTAGGAAATTAACAATGGTTGTTGTATTACATATTGATATCTTCAAAGTGGTTTCTCAGGAAAACAAATAGGGACATGCAAAATTGATCAAATAATCATTAACTGGGCTGGGGATATAGCTAAGTGGCATAAGCACCTGCCTGGCAAGCGCAAGGTCGTGAGTTTGTTTCCCAGTACTGCAAAAAAACAAAAACAAAAACAAATAATCGTTAACTGTTCCTTTCAGTAAAGTGATAGAAGTCAGTAGTACACCTATGTTAGCTGTCCTGGGTTAGAGATATAGCTCAGTGGTAGAGTGCTTGCCTAGCACACACGGGGCCCTGAGTTCAATCCCCAGTACCACCAAAAATAAATCTAACCAAATCTGTGTTAGCTATCCTATGTATGCATACATACATAATTTCCCCTTCTTTCTTTTCTCTTTTCCCTCACCCCAGTTGCTCTTTTACTTTTGAGCATGTTCCTTTCGTTTCACAAGTCTGTCATACCTCCTAATTTTTATTCACTCTTTTAGGTTCTTACACTAGTGAGACAATATGTTGCTTACACATGGAGGTCTGGTTTATTTCACTTATGAGTATGGTCTCTAGTTGTGACCATTTACCTATAAAAGCCTTGAGTTTATCTTTCTTTATAGCTGAGTAATATTCCATTATATAAAAGTACCACAATTTTTTTTATCCATTCCTCAGTGGATGGACATAGGAAGAACCAACATTGATAGGAAGAAACATTCTTAATATGTGTTGCAAATTTACAATAGACAACAACATTTTCACATCAGCTGTGTACTTGCTTACAAAACCTAAAAGATAATATCAGAAATAAAGTCCTGTATGAACTACAATGAAAATACCAACAGAACTCTACAACAAAAACAATCCTCACTTCAGTTGTCATACCCAAGGCAGTCTTTATGTTCCATGCACGTGTCTTGCTTACACTGATAGCAATGTGCTTACTCTCCTTTCCTGTGTGGCAGGCTGCTCTTGTTACCTTTCTTGTCTTCCTAGTTTGTCAGTCGCTTCCTACTCCATTAAACCACATGCACTTAGCAGGGAAATACAATAGTAATAAAATAAAATACCAAATATGTAATAAGTGCTTAGAATGGACATCAACATTTTCCTATCAGCTGTTCAGTTGTTTGCAAAATCTAATAGATAATATCAGAAATAATACCTATGTGAACTATAGAGTGAATACAGACAAAAGTCTACCACAGAAATAATCTTTGCTTCAACTGTCACATCCAATGCAGTCTTCACATATGACAACTATGTGTTCCACACATGTGTTGCTTTCACTAATGGCACAGATGCTTTGTTTTTCTGTCTTGTCTTGTAGGGCATAGTTGACATCTTTTTGGTTTTTCTGTTGTCATCGTAGGTCTTTTTGATGTTCCACCTGCCTGTTCACCTGTCAGCTCACCATTGTGCTCCACAATTTTTTTGCTTAGTTCTTTGGGCAGAAGCATTTTGTTTTACCGCTGCTATAAATGATTTCTTATGGGCTCTGGTTCCAGTCCTCTAAGAAAATTTCTCTGTGGTATTTTGCACTTATTATTTTCTTTGTAAACTCTCAAACTTTGCCACACATGTTTAGGATCAAATAAAACACGACCACTGGCCAACACTTTGTGTTTTGAGTGATATCATAGTTGCTGCATAACTCATCAATGACATGTGCTCCACCTTTGGTTTTGTTGTAGAAAGTTACCATCTCAGGCTTCCATTTTGTCAAGGTTTCTCTAACAATATTTCCATCATGGTGCAATGTTAACATCAGCTGTATCGATTTGATTTTCTTTGCCATGTATGAGGCCATTGTTACAACTTGCTGAAATCCAAACATTGTACTGTACAAGTCTCCGTTTTGAAATTGCAGTATTTCATTTGGAATATCTGTTCCTATGCTTGTCAACTTGAGCTCTGTTAGCAAATTTAGCATCACTTGGAAACTGGTAAATCAACTGTCAAATGACACATTCCAGTTAGCTTGGAAGATGGGAGCAACAAGCCTGTTACTCACAACATCATTCAGTTTATTGCTATATGAATGAGGACCTGGTGGCTGGGTTCCAGGTTAAATTTCTAAATTGAAAGCATAATAAATCTTTGCCATATTTTGAAGATTTTTTTTGGCATAAACTGTTTGACACTACAGAGTCACCATGAAATGCTGCAAGATGTTCATCAGTAGTTGTGTATGCAGTGATGTGTAAGTTGTTTGACAGTTACCCCCAAATTTCTCAAACAATGAGTGGATAGCAGCCAGATTATGAATTCTTTTTCTTTCTTGGCTGTTGGTTTTGTTATCAAACCTCAGGGAATTTTGAAGGAAACCAGATCTCCTCAGTGTCATTGTTATTCTACCAACCTCAAACCCACACCCACTTTTGAAACTTCAAACCCACCATCACTTTTCCCTAAGTCATTTACTTTCCTGCAGTTACTATGAGAAAGCCCTGCTAAGTACAGCAGACTTCTGAATGCTTTCAGTTCATTTAATGAGGTGTCATCATAAATATATTTTTGAGTATGGCTATTGGTACATATAGAACATTTTCCTTGTATTTCAGCATCTGTGTATTTCACATCTTGTAGCATTTTGTCTGTTCCAATTTCCAACATTGAATGGTAGTGCTGGCATTCCATCCAGTAGGTTTCAGTGCTACCAAGATCCTTACTATATTTTTGGACCTAGTTCTACCATTGGCTCTTTGTGTTTGGTTGTATGGCCATTTTGACTAGTCAAATATGTGCTCACATTGCTGTTCCTTCATCATCTGAATCAAGGAGGTCTGCATTCTCTGTGTCTGTATTGGTTGATTCTTGTTCTGTTTCGTTGTCACAAGAACTTTAGCTCACATGGCCAGTGGCAGAGTCATTATCATCTTCATTATCCATGCATGGGTAATGTTATGATTCACTTTCTACCTTCTCCAAAACTTGTAAATCTGGTTTTTCATGCGCCGTTGTACTGAATTGGGCTAATTCTACCAGAAAAATCAAAGAAAACTTGTTTTGAAAGAAATCCTAAATGCATAGAAGTTTAGCATTGAGCATTTCATGGATAGAACTCATCTGTTGCTGCTTTGGAGTTCCTCAACACCCCTTGCTGTTTATCTACTAAGATGGATATTTGCCTTCCTCAGGCACAGCTACCTGGTGAATCACACCACATTCCATTATGGTAAAACACATGTTTACAGAACAGAAAAGTTGTGTGGGTGTAATTTACCCCCTGTGATGCTCAGGTAAACATATGCAGAATCGTTAGCTAGACCATTATATGGGTAAAAACCCCCGTTTGACACTTTTACCATGTACACACACCTTGCCCTTTGTTGTATCAAGTGGGTAACACAAAGATTGCTTCCTGTATCCTCTAGGCACTGCCTTAGAGACACACAGCCAGCTACTATTACGTTAAAGTCAAAATCACAGTGAAAAAGTATGGGATAGGTTATAACCCAGTGTTATGCCAAGAAAATAAAGAAATAAGGAAAATAAAATGACATTTTAGGTATCTATTTAACAATAGTATATTGAATTTAACGTTATTGACTAGATGGGATGAGAAGCTTAAATGGCCATACAACCAAATACAAAGAGCCAGTGTTAGAACTAGGTCCAAAAATATAGTAAGGATCTTGGCAGGGCTGAAACCTACTGGATGGGATGCCAGCACTACCATTCAGTGTTGCAACACTTTTTGTGTTGGACGAGTTTAGAGAAGAAGGATGAATTAGACATAAAGCATCAAGAATATAGAGTCTACTTTCTGGAAATTTGTAGAAACGAGTTTTTTTTTCTTTTTGGAACAAGTTGTCTAAGGAAGATTTACAGAGGACATGAATTGTACAGTTACTTGTAGACTTTGAGTACCTGGGGGCTGGGGATTTAGGCTCAGCGGCACAGTGCCTACCTGGCAAGTGCAAGGTCGTGAGTTCAATTCCCAGTACTGGAAAAAAAAACAACAAAAAAAACCCCAAAAAACAAACAAACCAAAAAACAAGACTTTGAGTACCTGTAATAGGAACAGATAGTGCAAGAAAAAGTGTTCTAGGCAGGAGGCAGAGCAGCAGGCAGAGTCTAGAGACAGGCATGATTCAGTTTTGCAAAAGCACACAGATGTCTTAAGCATTTGTAGGAGACATGTTGGGAAAATAAGTTAAAGATGTGTTATCACTAGCCTTGAATTACGGAGATAAGAAATTGGATTTTGTTTGGTAGCTCTTTTGACACTACTGGTGGTTTTTAAGTTGGGGGCTGGTGTGACCCTGGGGTATTCTTCAGGAAGATGATTCTTCCAGTGGGTTGTAAGTTGACTTTGGAAGGCCATGGACTCCCAGGCACAGTAGCTGGGATTTCAGGTGTGTACCACCACACCCAGCTGTGGGGTGGCTTTGGATTAGGAAGCGGTTAGAAACAAGTTTGCTCTTTGCTCTCTTGGAATAATCTAAGCAAGAAATGACGACGTGAGCTGTGGTAGGTATAGTGTGGAAATGGAGAGAGATTTGCAGGATCAAGTGTAAGTAGAAAGTGGGAAAAGACAGTTATAATACCGTTATTTGGCCACTGCCTATAAATCCTCAAAACCAAGATCAAGTGAAGTGCTAATGAGTTTGACAGTGCGATTGTTGCTGTAAATTGCTCCTTTAGAAGAAGAAAATAAATCTGTAGTGTTTGTTTGTCTAGAGAACCATAAACTTAACAGGGATTTCCCAGACTTCAGTTTTACTTGTTTGTTGAATTTGACCATGTGCTACAGATGTTTAAATTGCTGAAGTCATTACTTATATGAATGACTAAAAAACTGACTTAATGTGAGGAATATTGAATGTAGACATAGGGGCTTTAGTTTGGCTTTGCAGTTAGCACATAATACAATGGAGTACATACTTCTGTAAATGTGCTATCGTACGCAGTTCACTTGATAGTAAGATGTTGTCATTGTGTTGTTAGAATTTACCTGTGAGGTTGGTGCTTTCAGTTTTTTTTTCAGAGTAATCTTATAGTTTTGAAAAAAGGACTTTTTAAAACAATCTCAGTTTATGGTTCCACTACTTAAAATCTTCATAAATTAAAAAATAATGTGGTCACTGTGATAATGTATAAAGTTGCCATCAGTCTCATTTCCCACAATGCTGTCACAACCTGGCTTATTCGTCTTCTTTGAACTTACACATGATAATTTCTCTCTTTATTTTCTCACTGTTTTTTCTACCTCTGGAAAAAGATGTGCTCTGCTTTGTTAACTGCTGTATTCCCAATACGTAGTGAGTATGCAGTAAATAACAAAGGACGGAATGAATAGGTCCATGTATTTCTCTAGGAGAGCAGTTTGGGGCAAGGTGAGATGAGCCAGTAAACTGACTTCACATCTTAGGAAGCCAGTTCTATTAAATATTCAACAGAATGGAATTTATTGCATCCATGTGGGAAAGCGTAAAAGTTGCCTTTTTGTAAATAATGGATTTATAGTAAAATATTTATAGTAAAAATATAGTAAAATAAGGGTCTTTCTGTAATTTTCACTTTTATTGTATGGATAATGTTGACATTTTGCATGCATTATTCAGTATTAGAACACATACTACTTTCTAGAGGTATTTGGAATTTATCTCTATGTTACAGTTATTTCATTGTCTAATAACAGCTATTTTTCCTTTGAACAGATATGGTATTAGACAACATGATAGCCTCTGGTCAGTTAGATGAGTCCATAAGAGAGAATGTGCGAGAAGCTCTCCTGAAGAGACATCATCATCAGAATGAGAAAAGATTCACCAGTCGGATTCCGCTTGTTCGGTCTTTTGCAGATATAGGCAAGAAACATTCTGACCCTCACTTGCTTGAAAGGAATGGTGAGATAAGTTGTGGCATCCAATATTTGCTAACTCTTCTCTAACAGCACTCTAACACATTACAGTTAACCTGGGGAGAGAGAGATGATGTTTCCGGATAATTAGGAATGTTGTATCTTTATTTTTGATTCCTTTTTTATGTAGTACTATTGTTTGTGCTTTTAAAATGTCATTTCTGACATAGCCTCTTTAAAATATGAGAATCCTTTGTAGAGATCACTTGGATGAAAAAAAGTAAGCATTTACTGTTAATGTGGCACAGACTAATTTCTTCTAATTTACGCTGTCAGGTGCCTTCACCCTGAATTACTTCTTTTTTGTTTCAAGATTTCACAATTTAAAATTGATTAGAAAGGCATAAATTCTGACCTATAATTTTAGTTTAATTTTTTAAAATTCTAAATCTGGGGTTTGAGCCTTTTTATTGTACCCGTATTAGGATTTTTTTTCTTTTTGGTTCCTGAATACCCTGCTGCATGTAGCACTGGCATAATCCAGTAGTTTTGGATTGGTTTTCTATTTCACTGCTCTTTATTTACACAGTTTTGTGACAGTACCTGTGTTACTCTAAGGGTGACCGAGTGTCTTTCAGGCCGTGGGAAGTGGCTGTGATCCATTGCACAGAGTCCAGTGTTCTGTTGTCTTCATGGGAAGACAGCGTTTTTGTAGCCATTTACCTGTCAGTGGCTTAGGGTGCCACAGTGGGAGGGTTTGCCCTGTTTGTATCTGTCTAAGGTGGAGGATTCCATCACTAGGGTTCTATTTTGACTCTCAACATGAACTGCTGCGACAGTGAATCTAGAGCTCAGGTACCAAAGATTAGAGTAGCTTACCAAGGCCATTATTGCCTGTAGCTGCTACTGTTGCCTGAAGCTTATGAGGATTACAGTGATGACGCATGTGGGACACAGCATCTTTCTGCTGTCAGTTTCTTTTTCTGAAATGATAGTCTGACTTGTGTTGTACAAGCAAACAGCCACAGGTGATGGGGTTTAACGCCCCTAAAGTTGACAGTAATTATTTGTAGCTCGGTGGAAAATACTTAATTTGACCATTTGATCGTTAAAACTTTTATGCCTGTGTTTAAAATTATGTCTTGATATAGTTAAGGAGGCTTAAGAATAAAAATAAAATCTGTGAACCTAAGTTTACTTTAAAAGCAAGGCATATATGGCACAGTTGACCTTTCTTTCTGTATATTTTCTTCTTTAATGAATTGAATTTACTCAAAGGCTTTATTAAGTTTTTATTCCTTGTATGCAGTAGTTTCTTATTATTTTCCAGTTTTATTTTTAATCATAAGACAATGACTGTTTTCTTTTAACTGCCATTTTATCATGTTATAGCAGTTGTAATGTAACACTTTTTCTGCATGTAGCTTGTTTTAACTAAAAAGTGGTTAATGGATTAAATGTTAGTCGTTTTACTTCGGAGATCTCTTGAGCATGTAGCTTTGATAACTTAGGCAATAGGAATTGTTGGATTTCTCCTGTTTCTCCTAAAAGAACAAAAGAAAGAATATTGTTCTTTTCAGCTCCACTAGTAGAAATACTAGATGTTTTAAGTATGCATGATCTTTTAAAGTACTGTAGACTTACTGTCTTATTGCTGTTGTTGGTTAAATGCTTTTTACCTAGTTAATTCATTGACTGCATGTATTTGGTTAAATGGATCCGTGATGTTAGCCGCAAGAAACTCACCTTAGAACATTTATTACTGAGTATCTTTAGACTGTTCAATAATATTCATCTTTTAAATTTGTAATTGTCTTTTTAAAAAATTCCTATAACTTGTTTTGCTTCTGTAAATTTCACTTGACAGTACCACCCTGTCCTTTGAAGTTAGTGTTATAAATATTTAATTGTCAATTTTACGTTAGAAATCTTTAGCCAATGTTGAAGTATATTTTTCCACTTGTGAGGGATAATTATCTGTAGCTGTTTGGTACAGTGTAGAAAAGTACACTAAATATAAGCTGTCAGTGCTGGTAAGTTTTGGTTTGGGTTCTCTTTCTGATTTTGTTTATTTACCATTTATTCATTGTTTAAGCAGTAACTTTGTATTGAGTGTCCTTTTTAGAAATGCCATACTATTGGTCATACTAATTTCTGACAGAATACTGTTCTCCACCATTTTTCCCTTTTCTTATGTGTTCAGTGAACAGAGTACAGTTTAAGTAACTTTTCAGTGACTTTCTAATGTTTAAAAATCTGATTGACATGCCAAACCTCACAGCATGAAGTAGATATTTGGGGCCTTGAAAGCTTGCAGTTTACAGTGTGTATTGATTTTTGTGTCTCTATGTTTGCCTTCTGCAGCGAACTTCATCATTTTTCATTTATTTGTTTTATCTCAGGGGAAGGCCTTTCAGCCTCCCGCCACTCTTTGCGAACAGGTCTCTCTGCCTCAAACCTTTCATTGAGAGGAGAGTCGCCTTTATCTCTTCTTCTCAGCCACCTTCTTCCTTCTTCAAGAGCTGGAACCCCTGCAGGCTCGAGGTGCACGACCCCAGTGCCCACCCCTCAGAACAGCCCTCCTTCCAGCCCTAATCTCAGTCGCCTGACCTCCAGAAGTTTCCAGCAGAGGCAGCCTCAGGCCCCAGAGCTACTGGTCTCACCTGCCAGTGATGATATCCCCACTGTAGTAATTCATCCGCCCGAGGAAGACTTAGAAGCTCTGAAAGGCCAGGAGCAGAAGAATGAGGAAAATGTTGACTTAACTCCAGGCAACTATTCACAGTCCTCCATGTGTGGTGCTTTGTGCCTCTGGATCACTTGCACTCGGAATGCTTTAAGCACATAACTCGAGCAGCATATGTAGATAACACTTATACTTTATTTTGACTTCTGCATGTTTTTTTTTTTTTTTCATTTATAGTACTTGTAGATTAGAATTATTAAAAATATAAGTATAAAAAGAGTTCAGAGAAAACTACATAAAATCTAATCCCTTTCCAACCTTTTCATTAAAATTTTAGTGGTTAAGGCATTGGCATGTAGTTCAGAACACTTAGGAATTGTTTTTTTTTTTTTTTTTTTTGGTTTTTCTCCGGTACCGGGAACCGAACTCACGACCTTGCGCTTGCCAGGCAGGTGCTTTGCCGCTGAGCTAAATCCCCAGCCCCGAATTTTTTATAATTAATATTTCAGTTAACCATTTTTTTTTTAAGAGTGGTATCTTTTCTTATGCAGTTCACTCATAAGATGAATGAATACATACATGTAAAGCTAGTGAAGTGGTAGACCATTTATCTATCTGATGCTCTTTTCCCCCCAAATAATGTAGCGTGTTTTAGCCTTTAACAGAGAAGGATCATTCTTTCTTTTTTTCATTTTGTCTCTGTGAAGATTAAGGTTCTTTAATATACAACTGCTTGGGATCATTATTATTTTAGGACTAGTATCATATTTCTGAATAGACTTTAGTTGTCCTTTATCTTAATGCCATATATACTTTCAATACAAAACTTTTTGATATTTTCAGGATCAGATTTTTTAGTTAGGAGTGGATTATTTCCATATGTGAATTAGAGAAATGATTTCTTAGTAATTGAAACTTTTTATACTATATTTTAGTAATTGAAACTTTTTATAGTATATTTTAGTTAAGGGCCATAAATTATGAATAGTTTTGGATCTTATACATTATATGAAGATTTACATATGTACATCTTTCCATCTAAATTTTATTTAAAAAAGTACTCTTTAGTGGCTACTCATACTTCAGCTAACCATTACTGTGATACATCCCAGTACTAACTAGTGGTTTTAATCATGTATTACATACTTCTCAAGAGTTCTGTGGCTTCAGTGACTGCTTAGTTACTAAATTATCTTATTCACTGTGTATGCAAATTTTTGTGAATTAGACATACCTACCCATTTTCAAAAACGCAGAAGTTTGTTAACTTTCCTGGATCATACGTCTACTAGGTGAAACACCTTAAAATCCTGTGCCTGCTGGTCCTTGTGTTTCTGTCACTCTGTGAAGGACCTCTTTCTCTCTGTTGGCTTTATTCAGTCACAACAAGTACGTTTAATTAAAGTTCATTATAGTTCCATTTACTTTTAGAAATGTAAATGGAAATTATATGGTTAAATCATTGAGTCATTAGTTTTGATTATAGTTATACCTACCATTGTTTTATAGTTTGTTCTAGACACAGTGATAGGTACTTCTCAGATGGAAAGTTCTGATTATTATAACAATTTGATGAGGTTGATGTTACTCTTGTTTTACAAATGAAAAATGATTTAGAGGTAATAAAACCATATTGTAAATAATCAGAGATTGGAGCTCAGATCTACTTACAACAAAATCTTAAGTATTTTTTGTGAATTTCAGTAGTAGTTCATGAAAAAGATAAAGTTTACTAATGAGGTAACTGAACATAAGGAGAGGTAAAAACCTAGATGTAATTACTCAGAGATAACCACTCTTACTGTATTAGAAGGAACTCCTTTCTCTTCTTCCTTGAATAAAGGTGATTTTAAACTTATATTTATTACATTGTAGAACAACACTGAACATTTCTTGTTTTATCAGCCTCTGTGTTATAAATAATAAGAATTATACTTCTTATTATAAAGGAAGCAACACATAGGTTCAAAATGGCTTGTGTAGTCCATGTTAAGGGTATAAAAAGAGCAATTAACTGAGAATTGAGGAACGTAATTTTTTTTCTCCTTAATTTTTTTGCAATAAGATTTAAAAGTTTTTCTGAAAAGAAATTAAAATGGAAGAGAGAATTTGTAAAGACAAGGAAAAGCTTATAATTAGTACTTAGGAGGACATCTGTGAAAGGTCAGCAATTAATGAGGAAAAGTGATAAGAGCAGCAATACATTATTTTCTATTTACCTTTGGTGTTTTAAAGCACTTAGAAATTCCAATGAAATTTCCTTGCAGTCTGATATTATATTAGAGATAAGTGGCCTCAGTGTCGTTCTGGAGAGGCCAGTGCCATCATAGAGTCATCATTTGTGCATACCTGTATTAAAAAAGACAGTGGATTAGATACTCTTTGGAGGATAGTTTGTAAAAGAGATGAATTTGCTTTTATTATCTGTAACTGCTTTTTTCTAACTCATTCTTTCTCTGCCTTGGCACTGTTAACAATGTGGGCTGGATAGTTCCTTGCTGCATGGCTTGGCAGGAGAGGGCAGCACTTTGTAGGATGTTTTAGCAGCATCTCTGGTCTCTGTGTCCAAGCCGCCACTTGCTCTCCCCAGTTCTGGCAGCCAAGTGTATTAGGGCCCTGATCTTCCCTGGTTGAGAGCCACTGCACTATTACCTACTTTCAACATTTTAATGACAGAAAACTGTGAAATCTTTGATTTGGTCTTTTCCAATTAGACTTGCTATTTAGGAAAAAAAATACAAGTATAAAATAATAGGTTTAGGGGCTGGAGATATAGCTCTGTGGCATAAGCGCCTGCCTGGCAAGCGCAAGGTTCTGAGTTCTATTCCCGGTATGCTACCAAAAATAATAATAATAGGTTTACTAGAATATGGTTTTTAAATCCCATCATTGATTTTATACACACACACACACACACACACACACACACACACACATGCATTTGTTTTTTCCCTCAAGCAAAAAAAAAATACAATCACTCTGAGTTACCTGTGCTAATGATAAGCAACATTTTGAGGGGGTGACTTACCCTGAGTGTTAGGAATTCATTGCTGGGGCAGAGAGGTTGATTTTAAAGAAAACAGCTTTCATTTAGCTGGGATTTGAAAGGACTACACAGGGAGGATAATGGTGGGAAACGCTTAACATGCACCTGCCATGCTGATTTTGAAGAAGGGACGGATTCAAGATGAACAGTTAGTCAAATGACTTCAGATCATACTTTCCAGCTTTATTTTTGAGTTCTATATTATTTCATCCAACCATTCCTACTATATTGTTATTTTCCACTACAACTTTCTAATTTTATTCTTTCCCACAAAATCTGGTGGCTGTGATTATTCTGAAAACTCTGTGCAGAATTATATGTTCTTTTGATTATATATGCACAGAATGAACACAATTAAGCAGTTGGAAGTCATATTAAATTATAGTTGTCACCAGTATCTTTGTGATATTCTTGTTGATTTTCTTGTGTGGAAATAGGTGGAAACCACTTGAAAATTCTGCTTAACTCTTTCTCCTTAGACAGGGGAGGGATGTTATTCTAGCTGGTTAGAGACGAAAGTCAAAGTGAAATCTTAATAACTTTTCCGTGCTAAACATAATGAAAAATGACTTGTCCTAGGAAATAGTTTTCTCTTCAGAACTGTTTAATTTGTTCAGAGAATGAGCATAGAACTCAGTAACAGGTGATTTTTTTTATACTCAGATTTTCAAAGTCTTAAAGATAGTTTATGTATTTAATAGAGAAGTGGTTAAGAGTCTTTCATAATTGACTTTAAGCAGTAAACCCAGCTGTCTTAACATTAGCTATAATTTGTTCTACAAACCTAAAAAACTCTTAAATGCATTAGATACATCCAGTATGTTTAAAATTCTAGAACTTGATTATCATTATTAACTGTAAAAGTTATATACTCTAACCACAAGGCAAATTTTAACTGAATTTCTGTGGATCACTAGATTGTTTTGAATGGCACAATTAAAACTAAGTTTGTTGTTTCAGTAACTATGATATTCAGTATTCTGAATATTAATTAGCTTATCTTCTTGATTTAGAAAATCTTTGGTGTTTGAAAAAAAAGGGTGCATTTAATGAATTTTTTATTGAGTGATTGACTGATTGATACTGGGGCCTGAGCCCCAAGGACTTTGCATTGAGCTACTCACACAACCCTTTTTATTTATTTATCTTGAGGCAGGTCTTGCTAAATTGCCCAGGCTGTGTTTTAACTTGGGATCCTTCTGCCTCAATCGTCTGTCAGGGCTAGAATTATAGGCATGCACCATTGTGTCTGGCTAATTTTAAATTTTTTGAGATTTGAGCTTTTTTGAAGAGTTTGTATCGCTAACCATGGGTAATGTATTAAGCAGTGTTTTTAGGTGATAGCTGTGAAATACTGTTGAATGTCACTTGAATTGAGTATACTAATCCCTGATCATGTGTTTATCATTATAATCCCAACAACTATCATAAAAGACAAACTAGTTTTACAGGTTTGTCTGAATCATACGTTAGGGAATTAATTACACAGCAATCTATTGGATTATAAAACCTTTAATCTTTGCATTTATATTGTAAAACATTTTAAAGCTATATTTCTTAGGAATAATGACAATAGGACATTACAAATATAAATACTAAAGAAAAGAATTTAGTCTTAAGAAACTAACTTTGTCGAGTGACACCTGTTGCTGGAGAATTTGTAGTTGTTGATGTGACCGTGCTAAGCGTAGTGAAGCGTCACTCAGCCCGCTGCCCTCCATGTGTTCCCAGCGGTAGTCAGACTGAGGTTTTTCTTGCATCTTTTCTGGTTCCATATTGACTCACTTTATTTTTTCAAAAGGCCACCATTTTTGTAAAGTCTAATTATTTTAAATATTAAAATGTATAGCTTCATCATTGCTTAAAATATTTTTCTAGTTTTGCTGGTATGATACTAACACCTGGCACTTTTTTTTTTAACTTTGCACATTCGCTTTTATAATAAACTGTCACTTTCAGGACATGAGCAGAGTTGCTACAAAGTGAATTATCTCCTCAATAATTTGGAATTATGTCTTTTCTTAAACACAGGTATTTTAGCATCTCCACAGTCTGCTCCTGGAAACTTGGACAATAGTAAAAGTGGAGAAATTAAAGGTAATGGAAGTGGAGGAAGCAGAGAAAATAGTACTGTTGATTTCAGCAAGGTAATTTAGTCATTAATATACATTTTCAATTCATTTCATTTAGTCATCAATATACATTTTCAATTCATTTCATGGTTATTTTTACTGTGAAGTTGTAGTTTGTGGCATCAGTAACATGGAGTATAATACTTTTTTAGTACACTGCTATTTATATATCTGCATTTGATACTTGTGATATGTTAGTTTAAGGTCAGAAATTGTGAGAAAGGTTACCTCCAAGAATTTGAAAAATTATATGCTTACTAGCTTTAGCAATCCTTAAAAAAAGGCTATGTGAATAATATGGTATTTTCGTCTGAAGCTACCCATAGATATGAGGAAACTTCAGTACCTTTTGAAATGCATTAACTGTTCTGGAGCTGCCACCACTAGAAAGGTCAATTCTGGGAATGATGTTACAGCACTAGTGGATCAGCCTTCCTTGGGCTGTAATGTAGTCCCAGAATTACTGTCTTATGGTGTTAGTACTTTCTGGAATGCCACTGGGGAATACATTGGTGTTTCCCCATGGATAGGTAAAGGCATGCATTTAAAAAGCTGTCTCAATATATAATTTTTTATTTGTTAGATGAATAGTTTAGTTGAAATAGGAAAAGAAACTGATTTCAAAAGAGCAGGGCAAAAACCAGCTTAAATTACGAAGGAATTTAAAACGTACATTATAACCGGGCGTGGTGGCACACGCCTGTAATCCCAGCACTCAGGAAACTGAGGCAGGAGGGTCATTGGGAGTTCGAGACCAGCCTGGGCTACAAAGTGAGCTCAAGGCCAGGATGAACTGCATAGCAAGATCCTGTCTCAAAAAAAAAAAAATGTACATGATGAGTACTTGTGAGCAAGTGAGTGCATTTAGCCATTGTACATTTTTTATAGTATTACTTTGATACAGGATGATAAATATTTTTGCATCCAGTTTGTGACATCAATAGCATTGATTATCATAATTTTTTAGTTGACTGCTATTTAAAATTATTAAATGTGATATTTCAAGTAAGGTTCTGTTGTATTTTTAACCTTTTATTCTGTCATGTGAGGCTTTCAAGTCACATTTTATATCAGAGAACTGTAAGTGACTTGCATTATAGTTTTGCTGAACCTCATGCCTTAAAATGATAGGAAGTGCTGCAGTAGGGGCTTTGGCCATGTGGGAAGGCTGTTTTAAATCTCCTGATCATAATTTTACTGGTATGCTGTTATTTCGTATACAAAGTGTTCATAATTAAATTGTGATTTATTCTTGTTGAATGTGTAAGTCAATGTAATTTACATTATAGATCGCCTCTAGACATGGCAGTTGCCGTTGATTTTTGTTCCTCTGTCACAGTCTTACTTTTTTTTACTTGGCCTATCCTTGTGTACACCTCCTTGTCTCCTGTTGGGCAGGAGTCTGCCTCCTGGCACTGTAGTTGTGGCACACTGGGTGTGGGACTCAAGAGGCCCGCTGTAAGTGCTGGTTTTATTTTTAATAGCTAGCCCTGTAAGTGGTTGTTTAGTGACTTGTGTGGAGCTGTGTACAAATGAAGAAGCTGACATAATTTAACATCACGTTTGTAACCTTTCCCTTGTAATTATACACAGGCAACTAAATTTCACATATTATGGCTTTATCATATATCTGAACCAGTAAGGGCTATAGATTTTAGTTGTAAACAACATGTTTTCTACTTAATGAAAATACTAGGGGACATTAGAATTTTTAAAAGGGCAACCTATAAACATCTAAAATATAAAGGGACTCATTCATTTCTAAAATTAAACCATAGAAAATTATAAATATGTTTTAGCACTGTGTATAATTTCATGAATCATTGTTAGTTTGTGAACTATATGTCCTTAATAGTTTTTAATGAATAATGCTATATTCATTGAAAAAATCCCAAATTTTATGTCTGATAGTTAAGACTCTGAAGTAGTAAAGATTGTGACAGTTACAACAGTAGTAGTGATAAATATTTTGCTTGCTTTTTTGTATTTGTCTATTTCATTCTTTATATTTGTGGAAATTTTGGCATCTATAAATTTTTTTAGATCAAGCAGATAGTCTTTAAAAGCATTTTTTTCATTCCTGTTTCCTTCTAAGTAATTTTGTAAATACCATGAAAACTTTATTTTTAATTATTTATTTGTCAATAGGTTGACATGAATTTCATGAGGAAAATTCCCACGGGAGCCGAGGCATCCAATGTTCTGGTAGGAGAAGTGGACTTTTTGGAAAGACCTATAATTGCATTTGTGAGACTGGCTCCTGCTGTCCTCCTCTCAGGGCTGACTGAGGTCCCTGTTCCTACAAGGTAAAAGTTAGTTTCAATTCATGTGTTCTCACCGTGTTCAAAACCTTCTTATCCACCGAAAGAACAAATACCTTGCTTTCTGTCAAAAAACCCTTTTTCATTGTTAGTATTTGGTCACTGTACCAGCATGTTTTGAGTGTTAGACTTAGCTTTTCTCCAAAGTGAGAAAATAAAATCAAAATTCTTTTAGGAAAAAAATTTCCCTTGTACCTCTATAGGAAGCTTGGTATCTTAGTAGCTTTGGTTTAATAGTTAATCAGAGTGTGTGTGTGTGTGTGTGTGTGTGTACGCGCGCGCGCGTGCGTGTGTGTGGGCTGGCGATTGAACCTAGAACTCTGCATGTACCAAGCACATTCTATAAACCTGAGCTGTATTAGTAGTCCTGATTTGCTTTTTCCATATTTATCTAATGTTATGTGCAAGCGCTGGAGTCAGAGGGAATAGAGTTGAATCTTTGCCACTTAACTTTTTATGGCACTAGGGTCAAGTCTAACTTAAATTTTCTAAGTTTTACTTATAAAATGAAGACACTTTATGAGATTGATTAAACATAATAATGCCTTTGAAGTAGACACAAAGCTCTGTTCTGGTCCGATCAAAATTGTCTGCTTGTTACACATTACAGATTAAAAGTTAAGCCAAGGGTAATATCCATAAGAATAATTAGCAAGTTATTTTATAAAGAATAATCAGTTTATTAGGTATAGAAGGGATAGTCTAGTTTGCTAGCTTTGGAATTTTAATTGTAGATGAGGTTTATTTTGAAAATATTTTCTCTTAGTATTTTATATGTAACTATGAAGAATAAAAGGAGCTGATGGAAATATTTAGTATTTATTTTTAAATTGCTTTACTAAGGTTTCATTAATGATGAGTGTTAAGTGAGAAAAAATAATTACATGGGTTCACATGTAAATTGTCATAGAAGTAGGAAGATAAATACTGTGCTTAGAGTGAGTGTAATTTTTTTTTATGAGGCGGGGTCTTACTATGTAGGTGAAGATGGCCATGAGCTCATTATGTCACTCAGGCTGGCCTTGAATTTGTGGAGATCCTTCTGCTTCAGCCTCCTGAGTGCTGGGATTAACAGTCATGTGCCACCACACTTGGTGTGAATGTGAATATTAATTCTTTACTGTAAACAAGGATATAACCAAGTAGGAAGTTAAATACTTTTTATATAGTCACTAGGATACTATAAGTTTTGATATTAAACTTGGAGTTATAAGTAAAAATTCTTTTTCTTTCCAGAATTAATGGACTAAAATCTCACGTCTACATATTAAGAATTTTTACCCTAGTTTTACCCATAGTTCTTAGTTTGAGGGATTGTAGATTTTTTGCATGTACTTTTTTAGTTTTAGTGGTACATGTTAGGGGTCACCACTGGCTTAAATGCCGAGCCCATTGTGCCTATGTACTCTAGCTATTTTATTTGTTTATTTTTAAGAACTTAATGACATTGCTGTTCATTTTATTTACAGAATGTTTGTCATCCGTTCAGATCAGGTTTTTTTACTCTAATCCAAAAAGTTATAGATGAGAATTTTTAACCAAAAATACTTACTTTTTTAATTACTATTTTTTCCCTAAGGAAGTTATAAAATGATGACAGAGTAGGAAGTTAATTTCAAATGCCTGGAGTGGCTGGGAGGCCGCTTACTGGTGTTTTAGTAATTCTTATAGGATTGGGAAAGGGGTCTGAGTAGTGTTTCTGTATTTATGGTTCAGTGATTTAAAAAAAAAAAGACTGCTTAGATTTTTGTGTGTATGTTGCTCACTTTTACATCTGTGTACTGTACTCTTCCTGTAGGTTTTTGTTTCTGTTGTTGGGTCCAGCAGGCAAGGCACCGCAGTATCATGAAATTGGCAGATCCATAGCCACCCTTATGACAGATGAGGTAAATAAAATCTGTTTGACATAAATATTAATTATGAAATTGTAATATTCCTGTCTTTCACAGTGAAACTTAATAATTATTGTTGGCGTCAGTACTATTTTATTGCCTGTTCATTCTTCAAACATTTTTTTTCATGAGCTTCTCTTTCTGTATCCTGCATTTTTATTAGAACATTTATTGTTACCTGCAGTTACATGTTTTTTTTTTGTTTGTTTTTTGTTTTTCTCCGGTACTGGGAACCGAACTCACGACCTTGCGCTTGCCAGGCAGGCGCTTTGCCGCTGAGCTAAATCCCCAGCCCCTACATGTTTTATTGAATTAACTTGTTTAGCTATTTTCCCCCTACTAAAAAAGTATTTTTATTTTAATCATTCTTTTTTTTTTTTGTGGTGATAATAATGGGGTTTATCCTGAGTCCTTTACATTGAACTATATTCCCAGCCGTTTCTAAATTTTTTTTTATTTTGTGACAGAGTCTTGCTAAGTCACTTGAGTTTTCCAGGCTGTGTTCAAACTTGAAGTCCTCCTAACTTGGCCTCCCAGGGGGCTGGGATTACAGGTGTGGGCCATCACACACAGCTTCAAGAAGATTTTTGAATACAATGAAGTCACTTGTCTCCATTTTTTTTATCTATAATGCTTAGAATTATTCCTAGCAAATAGTAGGTAACCAGAAATGTCAGAAGAGTAGTGTTACAAGGTTTTATTTTTTTGGGGGGTGGGGGTGGGAATTGAACTCAGGACCTTGCACTTGCAAAGCAGGTACTTGTGTTATCTTTTTTTTTCTCTCTCTAAAATAAAAGAATAATAAATAAAGAGTATAATCACTTGGAAAAAAAGACTAGCATTACATGCCACAGTATTTGATTCCGTAATGAATTATCAAGTATTTTGTGTACAAAAAATTTTTGATTGCTCTGTCTTAACACATCATTGTTTTCTTTGTTACTGTTAACACATCTGATAGTACTAATACAGTGGGTTACCTTTTATAGTTTATAGCATTTTTAAATAGCTATAGCATTACAGTTTATAGCATAGTAATACATGTCTGAAGTAAGAGTTTAGGTAACTGTCTTTATTGTGAGTGATATCTAAAATGGATGTACTAACCATAGAACTTTCTTTCATCTTTAAAATCTTTATCTCAATGATTTTTTCTTTAGATTTTTCATGATGTAGCTTACAAAGCAAAAGACAGAAACGACCTTTTATCTGGAATTGATGAATTTTTAGATCAAGTAACTGTCCTACCTCCGGGTGAGTGGGATCCTTCTATCCGCATAGAGCCACCAAAAAGTGTCCCTTCTCAGGTAAGAACTTAGAGCTTTTCTGTGAAGTAATTTCTTTTAACTAAAACATTTTTAATTAAAATTTTAGATTATACATTTTTAAGATTCAAAAACCAAAACTGTTGGCTTAAGAGTATAGCTCTGTGGTAGCGAGCATGCTTAGCATGTATGAGACCCTGGAATTGATCCCAAGCACCATGAAAAACATATAGTCATATATATAAAAACTATTTAAAGAGGTATATTTAGAGCTACTCTGTCTGCACCTGGCCTCTTTTAATGTCTTCTGCCTACCTCTTATGGGTCCATTTTTTGTTTTTTGTTTATTCTTCTAGTTTTACTCAGTTCATGTAATAGTCTTATTTCTTCCTCTTTCTTACCGAAAGTTACGTTATGTATACTATTTTGTACCTTGCTTTTTTTTGTACCGATTGAGCACCTCTAGTCTGAAATTCAAAATAGTCTGAAATCAATAACTTTTTGAATACTGATATAATTCTTAATATAATGCTCATGATACTGAATACTGACATACTGCTCAGAAAGTTTCAGATTGTGGATTTTCATATTAAGCATGCTCAACCAATCAAGAATATACAAATACACAAATATTTGAAAAACTTTGAAATCTCAAGACATTTTTAGTCCCAGCTGTTTTGGATAAGGGATATTTGCTCTGTATAACAAAATATCATAGAGACCTGTTCATAAGAAATCATGGAAATATTCCTTGTTCTTTTTTCTACAGCTATGTTGTATTCCGTTTATGGACATGCCATTGTTTATTTTATTCCTGGGCGCTGGTTATTTTTAGGCATTTGTTATTAAAAACTGTGCCACTGTATTCATGTGCCATTTCAGTTTTATACAGATGTATAGGTAGATCTCCAAATATCAGATTGCTGGTTCAAAGGGGCATTCATTTATAATTTAAGTAGATACTGCCCAAATCTCTTCTATATCTTTGAACTGTTTTGGACTCCCACACTGAAGTCTGTATCTCTGCATTTTCATTAATATGGTATGTTGCTAAACTTTCAAATATTTCTCAGTCTGATTGGTATTTTTATCTTGATACATCGTATCTTTTAATGGGATTTTCATACACTGTAATTAGGTTGAGTATTCCTGTTTATCTTTGGTTCAGCATCCTTTTTTCCCATTCTTTTATTTTTAACTGTTTAAGTCGTTCTCTGATTCTTTGGAATTTATCATAGTATATTACGTGATGTTACACATCCAAATTTTTCCTTTTTCCAAATTATTGTCTGCTTGTCCCAATTCATTAAAAAAATTAAGGACTGCCCTTCTCTCTTCCCTTTTTGTTTGTTTTCTTTTGAGACAGGGTCTTACTGTGTAGTCCAGAGAGGCCTTGACCTAGTGATCTTTCTGTGCCTCAGCCTCCTGTGTATTGGGCCTACAGGTGTGTGCCACTATTTCCAGCACATGTGCTCTTTGATTGGTGATGCTGCCTTCACTTTAACTAAATTTTATCTGCATTTGTGCTTGTTTCTGGAATTTATTTTCATTCTATTAATGGACAAATTTTTACATTGTTTTGAGATTTTTTTCAATATCTGATAAGTATATTTTAATATCTGATAAATCTAGACTTTTGTCCTCTCGTATTTTTCTGATTTTTCTTGGCTATCTTTGCATATTTATTTTTCTATGTAAAATTAGCTTTCTATTTCCAGAAATAAAACTTCCTGGTTTAAGAAAACAGTTGTGATAATAGTTAAATTTCTCAATGAACTGAGGGAGAATCAGCATCTTTGACATTGAATCTTTCTGTTCAAGAACATGGTATGTCTCTTCCCTGTTGATTTTTTTGTTTTTCAAGTTGGGTTTTGTATCATTAAGGAATACTTTTTAAATCCCATATTTTAACTTGTATTACAAAGCTACAGTGATATAAACAGCCTGGTACTGGTATAGAAACAGACATGTGGATCAGTAGAGGAAGCAGAAACAAACTCAGACATGAATTCAGCTATTTGATCTTGGACAAAGAGGCCCAAAATATGCACTGGAGGAAAGATACCTTCTTTAATAAATAGTACTGGGAAAATTGGATATCTACATGCAGAAGAGTGAGTCTAGATCCATATATTTCACCATGCACTAAATTAAAATCAAAATGGATCAAAGATCTAAATGTTAAAACAGGAACACTTAATCTGCCAGAATATAAAATAGGTAAAAATCTTGAAAACATAGGTATAGGCAAGGACTTTATGAACCAAATCCCAGTGGCACAAGAAATAATACTGATAATCAAAAAAAGGGATTATATCAAATTGGAAGTCTTCTGTGCGGCAAAGGAAACAACCAGCGGAGTGAAGAGATAATTGAATGGGAATAAAATTTTGCCAGCTATTCCTCAAAGGACTAAGATCTGTAACACATAAAGAAGTAAAAAAAATTAATTCCCTCAAAGTAAAAGACCCAATCAAAAAATTGTTACCTGAAAAGAATTGTTACACTTCTCACAAGTACACGTGGCCAGTGAATACACGAGAAAATGTTCAGCATTGCTGGCCAATAGAGAAATGCAAATTGAAACAATATTGAGGTGCCATCTCATTCCGGAAAGAACGGGTGTCATCAAGAAATCAATGAACAGCAAAAGCTGCCAAGGGTGAAGGGGAAAAATGAACCCTTCTGCATTGTTGATGGGAATGTAAACTAGTAAAACCACTATGGAATGAGTATGGAGAGTCCTCAAAAAACTAAAAGTAGCAGTTTCATTTCACCCAGCTATTACCCCTTCCAGGTATCTTCCCAAAAGAGTTAAAGTCAACAGATTACAGTGACGCAGGCATATCCGGGTTTATAGCAGCACAATTCATAATAGCTAAATCTTGGAAGCCTCCTATATGCCCCTTGACAGATGAATGGATGAAGAAAATGTGGTACAATAGAGTACTACTCTGCCATAAAGAAGGATATATGAGGCATTCATAGATAAATGGATGCATCTCTTGACCATGAGGCAGGGAGGGAAGAGAAAAAGGTTGAAGAAAAGCATTGAAAAAACAGAGCTTTTGAAAATAGGAAGGGGTCTGGGCGTGGTGGCACATGCCTGTAATCCCAGCACTTGGGAGGCTGAGGCAGGAGGATTGTTGTGAGTTCGAGACCAGCCTGGGCTACAAAGTGAGCTCAAGGCCAGCCTGAACTGCATAGGGAGACTCTGTCTCAAAAAGACTGGTGGTGGCGGGGGGATAGGAAAAGGAAGAAGAGTTGGAGGAAGCAGGGAAGTATAGAAGGGAAAAGAGATGAAAAAAAACAATGTGATGTATTATGTGCATGTACAAACTTCCCCACAGTAAATGCAATTATTTTGTATGGCACATATGTACTAATGAATGCCCCCAAGTGTTTGCCTTATCTACAATTTACTTACATCTTGATGAATGTATTTATAAGTATTTGCTCTTCGTTGTTATATTATAAATGAGGTCTTCGTTTCGTTTTCTTGTCTGTTGCATATATATATACACTATATATATGCTCAGTTATATGTATTTTTGTCTTGCTGTTCTTTATTGTATGTAGTTTTTAGTCATATCGCTTGCTATGAGACAGTTTTGTTCCTTCTTTTCCAAATTTTATACATTTAGCATTTTTCTGATTCTGATTGTACTAACTACAATCTGTTACAGTATTAAGAGGAAGTGAGATTTTTACTGCAGTACCAGTGGTGATGACTCAAACCTAAGACTGCATGCTGCCATTGAACTATATACCCAGCCCAGCAGGGAGCTTTAAATGGCACTAGTATCTCTAGTATTTCCTTTATTAAGTAACATACTGATACTCAGGCGAAATCACACATTTTATCATGGTAAATACAATATTTTGTCTTACTGACATTTTTAATATAAGTGGATATGAATTTTATAAATACTTTGCAAATATTATCAGTTATTTTAGTAACTGTTCTTAAATGTGGAACACTGCATTATTGGAGTTAATTCAGCTCGGACGTGCAGGTCTGTCTGCTATTTTAAGTTTTTTGCATTGTTCGTAGGTGATTTCACCTGTAGATTTTTGTGCCATTACATGCTGGTGTCATCATTGTACATGTTTTATAGAAAAGAATTTCTAGTTTCCTTTTCCTGATGTTTAGACAGCTAAATAATGTGCAGTTATTAGGTTACAAAGTTTAGAAAAATCCCTTTGTAATATTTTTTTGAGCTTACATCTTTTGTCATATGGTAGACTTCAACAATTTGCTTATTTCTTTTATGGATATTGGCTTGTATAAAGTTTATTTTTTGTGAGGTCAGTTTTGGTAAATTATATTTTCTGGAATTCGTCTAAGTTTTATGTATCTATTTCCTTCATTTTGTGAAGTTATCTTCTTGCTGTATTTTATTTGTTGATGGGCTAATCATCTATCCTCTATTTCAAACAGTCCTGCTTTTAAAATATATTTCAGATTTCCGTCTTTAAAATCATGATTTTGTTTTTTTTTTTTTTTTTAATCTCATTTCTTCATGTTAGCTGTTCATTTGATTCCTTCTAGTTACCTTTAGGAAAGATTTTTGTTTTTACCTGTTTTGTCTACTTTTTTTTTTTTTTTTTTTTAATTTTTCTTAATATAAATGCTTGTCTTTGGGAATTTTTTTTGTATGATGTTTTAACTTTATCTCATAGTCTGTAAATGCTGACCATGTAACCCAGTATGTATAAATCTGTGCTGCAGCCAGGGCCTTTGACCTCAGGGACCCTCTGGATCTCACATCACTTTGTCTCTCTGTCTCCTTCCCTTCTTTCTTGTGCATGCGCACACACATATTCTGCTGTCCCTGGTTACTTTTGATAACCAGTTGAAAGCTTATTCCTTTGTCTTCATGTGAGGAGAAGATCCTGTATCATGGAAATGGTACTCCTGAATTTTAAATAAAATATAATGGAAAAATTACAAACCAATTTTTTCTTTTTTTTAAGTGAAGTAGTTTCATGAAAGAAAAATAACATCTTTGAAATTAATATGTATGTTTTTCAGTGGTTAGCATGACCAGTATTTTTAAAAATTTGAGTTATATGCTTTTTGGAGGATATGTATGTTCATAATTATTGCTGAATAGTAATTTGAAATGATATGTATGACTATGCTTTACAGTATATTCATGTTAGAGTATAAAATGCAGAAGGCTAGGCATAAATTTGAAATATGAATAAAGACATATTAGATTCACAAGTACAATTTATTTTTAAGAAGTTTACATTAGGAAAAGTTTGTTTTTCCCTCAGAGCACTGATTAGATAGCTAAGTCATACAATAGCTGATGTTCCTTTGAATCAAAGATGCCATCTCAATTTTGTAAAAAGAGAATTCTGAAAGTATGTTTTTATGACATAGGAAAAGAGAAAGATTCCTGTGTTTCCCAATGGATCTGCCACTTCGTCCGGTGAGATTCCTAAGGAGGCTGCTCACCATGCTGGGCCTGAGCTGCAGAGGACGGGACGGTGGGTATCAGTACAGAGATCTTTTTGGTACTAGGGGTCACTATGATAAAAAGGGAACATTCTTTTTCTTTCCTAGAATTTGGAACCTAATCTTGTTTAGTATTTCTATCATGTTTTTAAAAATGTGCATTATAAGGTATGTGATGCTAGGGAAAATGTTTCAGCATTTAAAAATAAATTTTAATAATATGTACCAAACTTAAAATAATGGACTATGTTTTCAGAAATCAGTTAGAGTACTTAGGTTAATTTTCATTGCCTCTCTAGAAGGTTCTTAAAAAGCTGCAGTGTCATTTTACAGTTTTCCATATCAAATTAAGGAGTTATGGGAAAAAAGGGGAGTTACAACATGATTTTTATGTGTTATGCATAGATTTAGAACTGTTAAATAAATATTACGTTATGAGACGCTGTATAATTAGATGGACAACCATGGTATCCCATTAATGAGTTTCAGAAACCTTGTTAGCACATTATGAAGTTAAGTTTTGGAGTAAAGAACAGAAGTATTGCCAGGTATAATCATTTTTAAATATATTTAAAATATCTTGTAGAAGTAGGTAAATGTTATGGTATTTTCATACTCTAGAAAAGCATATGGCTATTGATTTATGTCTACTGTGATCCATGTGGAATTAAAAGAATTTGAACCTTAAATCTTTGATAATACTATGATATTTTACCCAGACACACGACTGGGGATTTTGATGACATGCTTAAAGGTTACTATATATAAGAAAAAATAACTGGCATAGTGAATATAGACTTTGAAAAAGCTCAAATTCACAATGAGTTGACTAATGAACTGTTGTAGTTTGTGTGAATATGAGAGAATAGAACTTCATCCCTATATACACAGTGCTGGTCTCCTTTTAATTACTGTTTCTTTGACCTTCAAATGCAGGTAGTGTTAGTCATTGACAGGCCCCACATTAGACACCTACGGACCTCACAGTTACCCAAGAGGCTCTGTGAGCCATGTGTCAAATAATCAATTATTGATTTGATGATACAGATTCATTTTCTAGATACTCATCGGCATTGGAACCAATTCCCCTTGCTGTGTTTATGTATAGAGTAACTTCCCCTTAGCAATGTATGTTTAGGATTTATATTAACTTTTAAAAATTTACAATGATAAAGCTTGAAGCATCCAAAGCATTTGAAAGCATACAGTTAAATTTTTTGTCTGTTGTCTTACAGTTGATATTGGAATGATTACCTGTTTTTCAAGTCAGGTTTTATTACCTGTTTTTGAATTATCGGTTCAGTCTAGTACCTACTATCCCCAGGCAGTGTTCTAGGCACTGGAGATACGACTGTGAGAAAGAAAAGTCCTTTCCTCTCATGGACTTTATGTCTTCCTGTAATATTTTCAAATTAGATATATCCAAAGATGTGATTTTTAAAAATTGAAGCGGCATGGCTTTGATGTTTTATTACAGTTTTGTAATCTCATTAAAACTTCTTAGTTTTATTGATATATATATGTTTTCCTGCATATATAATAAACTAAAAGTACTGAAATCATTTTAAGGATTTTTATTTTCCTAGGCAGAAATATTCGTACAATTAAAGCACTAATTTTTAAAGGTATTATAATCAGCATTTAATTAACTGCTTGTGCACAGCACACTGCATTGCTTTTATAGGAATTACAGTTGCTTTCTTGATATATTTGATAGTTGCCGTTAAGATTTATAATATAAACAGTAACTAATAGAATTATTATTTAATGCATTTTCATGAATGATTAGGTTTTATTTATTATGTGTTTCTTTGTACATTTGTGTCCAAAGTTACATTTACTCATATATATAAAATCATTTGCCTGCAGTCTTTTCAGTATATACTCCATAAAATAATGTGTATGCCTCTTTTTAACTTAATGAGATCTTTCATCTGTCGTCAGTAGATTAGATTAAATGAATGTGTCATCTGAAATTTACACCATGATTTGAATTGGATTTTAATTTTTGTTGCCAGAACGCTAGGCACCAGCAGTTTTAAGTAGCCCATAGTCTTAGTCTGAACTAGCTAGAGTCCTCTAGGGTACAGTTTGACGGGTTTCATCTCACCTATTTAGGCTTTTTGGTGGTTTGATACTTGACATCAAAAGGAAAGCACCTTTTTTCTTGAGTGACTTCAAGGATGCATTAAGCCTGCAGTGCCTGGCCTCGATTCTTTTCCTATACTGTGCCTGTATGTCTCCTGTTATCACTTTTGGAGGGCTGCTTGGAGAAGCTACAGAAGGCAGAATAGTGAGTACAAAGATTGGTAGTGGCCAGGCTCTCAGCTCTTCAGAGGCAAGTGTCTGTGTGCATTTGTCTCACTATTCCTACTTTTATTTGAAGAGTCTACCCAAACCTGTCCCAAACCAGACTTCCCCCAAGGTAATTGCTGTGGAAAACATGGGGAAGCCATTTGAACAGGAGAAGATGCACAGTTGAGGTAAAACAAGAAAGGAAATAAAAGTTTATCCTGCCTTGCTGGATGGAATGGTTTTATACATTGAGTAAAAGGCTTGCATTGTCTTCTGGGAGGGGGTGGATTCTGGGGGAAACCAATGGAACTGCTCCTGGGGGTGGGTCGTGGGTGGGGGAATTTACCTTGACCCTGTAAGGTATCGCAGGGTTAGCCAGTGGTATGATTAACATTAACTCGGCTCTGGTGGGTAGGGCTAGACTAGATATATGGAAGAATAGACCTTAATTGTAGAGATGCTAGATTTTTGAAGTACAAAATTTTCTGTTTTGTTTACATTAAATCTGTGTAAAAGTAGCCAAAGGTTTTATTTGGAAAATATAATTGAAAGTTGCCTGCATCTTTTAATATGACTAGAAAGAAAGTTTAGTTTTTCGGTATTTGAAACTACTGTGTTAGGAACTGTGGTTCTTTGTAAAATCTTGAGTTTTTTTTTTTTTTTTTTTTTTAGAGGGGGCCTGTATTTTTTAGTGGCTTTTAATTCAGATGATTTATAATTCTTAAGTATATTGTAATTAATATTTAACTATTAAATTTGAAAATTGGAAAATTTGTATTTTTCTAGATAAAGGGTAAAAATTAGTCAAAATTGGTGATGATATTTATTCAATTAAGGTATTATGTGCTCTGAACATGAAATAAAGCTGACAACTGAAATTTTCTTTCAACTCTTGATATTTGATTACTTAGATTATTTTGATGTTATTTTTTAACCATTGTATCACGTGTGCATATTCTTAGTAAGTTGCTTTATTTGCTGTCACAAATTGTACTTGTAACTCTCCTGGTTGCTGTGGAAATGTGTTCTGTTACCATCATGGAAATAACTGCTGCTTTGCTCATGGACTGTCACTGCCTGCCCGTCTTCTGCTGCTGCTCACACTGTGTGCATGGGTAGAGCGTGGTGTGGTAGGAGCTGGAGGAGGACAGAGAGATGCAGGAAGAATGTGTGTCTCTGTCCTCAGTTACCCTGCCTTCAGAGAAAGGGGTCACGTACACACAGTTCCTGTGCCACCATACACTGGGATACAGGAGTGAGGTAAAGGCAGCGCGCGGGGGCTAAGGACTGAAGGAGAGACAGCAGGAATGTTATGGAGGAAAATAACGCGAGATGTTTGTGTCCAGGTGCCTTGTTAGAATTTCAAGTAGAAATGGATATATTGGGAGGCACAGTTTCAGAGTTGTACAGTGATAAGGAAAAATAAACCTTAGAAATCACTCAATTATGGATGAGGGTTGAAACTGAAATAGATGAGGTAAACAAGGGAGGTCACTTAGGAGTGAGAACTTGTGGAAAGGTGGGGGGTGGAACGAAGAGGAAGATATCCCAGTCGGTCAGGTTCAGTGACCGTCAGACCCCGAGAAGCTGAGTGAGGGTGGCATAATTCTGCAAGAACCGCAGCAGTTTTGAGAAGGAAGTTAGTGACTTAGTACGGTAGCAGGTAGTGAGCTCTGTGTGAGGGGAAGTGAGCGGAGGCAGATAAAATGGAAAGGTAGAGCGGAAACGTGTAAATTTGAAATGAAATGGGGAAGGCGTTGGAATGGGGCTATTATTTCTTTAGGGAAAGAGGTTTCAGTTTGTGAACAAACATAGTTAAAAACTAGATCTTTGGGTAAGGGAAAGTTTTATTTCTATAAGTAGGCTGTAGAGGTGAGATGAAAGGACAGGTTTCATCTGTCAGTATCTGCTCTCTAACCCGAGGGGAGATTCATCGTATGCCCCTCTGTGCTTGTTAACACTAGGGGGAGGTCCCCTCCTCTTTTTTTTTGCTTCCTTTCTCTGGATATCATTTACATATTTTTTAAAATTTTAACTTAAGTACAGCCTCCATCTCTTCTTAAACAGCATATTCTACTAAAACTAAGGATTCCTTGGTGGCTTACCTGTGTCTTGTAGCACGAACTTACTTTCCTACAGGCAGGAAAACAGATTCTCCCCATATTGTGAACAAACGTATGATTGATAGGGATGCTTTTTGTGGATTACTCCTGTTTTTGTCTTAATAGTTGATTTGTACTTTTATTGTCTGCTGTTGTTTTGTGATGCTGATTTTGAAAGATGCTGTTACAATTCTTAAGAAGAATGGCTACCATGTATTATTTTCCATTTGCAAAACTGTGTTTGTTAAGTGTTTTCATAAACACTCAAGTTCTCCTACGTTGTTACCCCTCTTAGACTGAGACAGCTTGTGGGCTGGAGCAGTCATGGTCAGCACCCAGTGTTAGCCAGTCTCCCACTCCATGTCTGGTTCTGACGCCTCGCTCTTCTACTGCTATTGTGCTGCCTGTGGTTTCAGGAGTTTTTTATTTTTTTATTTTTTGCCAACTGCTTTCTCTTGCCTTCACCAGTGACGGGCTTTTCCTTTCTGGGTAGTACATTCCAAGTGTTGATGTTTGTGACTAGTAAACTGTTCCTTTCTGATCCATCCTTTTGTATAGTGGCATGGCATAGCACTACCCTTTACTACTTCATAACCTCATGTTGTACTAGGTTTGCTTTAAAATTTCCCTGAGCCTTTCATTTTCTCATTTCACCTTTCTCTCCCTCTTTTATTCCCCCCAGCTTTAATGATAAAATACTTCCTCATTTATGATTGCTGTGAATTTTTAGATGTTTTTCATACATTTTGTTTATGTTAAGTACTTCATTTTTTGATAGAAATTAATTAAGCATATCAGATAAATTGCTTTAACATATGTGAAAAATTGCTCTTGAAAAAGATAGGATCAGCTGGATGTGGTGGAGCATGCCTGTAATCCCAGCACTTGGGAGGCGGAGGCAAGAGGAGGATCACTGTGAGTTCGAGGCCAGCCTGGGCTACATAGTGAGCTCAAGGCCAGCCTGTACTACCTAGTGAGACCCTACCTCGAGAAAAACAAGAAAAAAAAAAAAAAGCAGAAAAAGAAAAAAAGATAGGATCACATGTTAACTTACTCTTTGTTCAAAGATATTTTTTTTTGCAGCATCATTTGAGTATTTACAAACTATTCAAAGCATACAGAAATGTTAAAAATAATGCATAACCTTTTTTACTTGCCACAGACTTAAAAAGTAAAATATCTCTAGGTAAAGTTGAAACCCTGTCTGTATGTGTTTTTCCTGTATACTTTTTGCACCTTGTGTCTCCCAGTAATTCGTTTTGAATTAAGAGCAATTGCAGAAAGTTTCACTTAAATATGCAGAAAGAAAACAGTTTTTTTCGTATTTAAATTGTTTTTATAATTTTCTATGTTTAAAATTGACTCTTGTTTGCTTTATACCCCTTGGTTAGTATTTTTATGTTGTAGATACCTAACGTATTATGTAGTAGGTTAGAGAGATGTTTATGATGCATTGCTTCTATCCATTTCTTTTTTCCTTGAACAGAGTGCAATAGAGTCTCTCTTTGGAGCATCGTTAACTGGGATTGCCTATTCATTGTTTGCTGGGCAACCTCTAACAATACTGGGGAGCACAGGTCCAGTTTTAGTGTTTGAAAAAATTTTATTTAAATTCTGCAGGTAAGTTATAATTCTCCGCTCATCACATGTTTGCATATATGTATAACTGTATACAGTATTCTTTATTAATTTAGTGTTCATTTTATATATGTTACAGTTGGTGTGATCTGATTAGTGTATGTATTTTCAATATTTGGGGGCAATTATTGTTGATCCTGCGAGCATCCTACCAAGGCCCCCACCACCATGTCTATCTCAGTAACTTGGAAATACATAGTGTAAAATTAATGGATTTGAGTAGTGATAAGCAAATTACTCAAAAAGTGAAAGTTCTTTGTACTAGTAACAAGTTGTTTATCTCAACTATTTGTAGGTAGAATGTTGGTCTTATACGGGAGTTTAGAAAGAGTTGGATCTCAAAGGCTCAAATGGACTGGGGCAGTCAGTTCTGTTCAACAGATAGGACTGGGGAGTGAAGCGGTCAGAACAAAGTGTCAGTTTCCACTGTCTCCGTTGTTTATAGTATAGAAAATAAATCCTGGGTTCTATAGCTAGTAGACTTGGAATTTTACATGACCAGCCCTGTTCCTTTCCTCACAAAAATGTATTTGAATATTTTAGACTGAAACAACTTGATGGTATTTACATCCTTCCCTGTCCTTGTTCTCACTCTGTACTCACGGAATAAGCTGATACCGAACCCACTCTGTCTTACCACATGGGTTAATAGAGAATGAGGTGACCTGAGGTGTGGAGCCTGTTAGTAATTTCCTATTTGAAATTTAACATTAGATATCACTTTACTGTGGTGGTAATGGTGGGAGGGAAGTGGTGGTGTAATGGCAAGATACTGGAGCAGGGCGTCTTTTACCATATTAACATAATTCTTCTGGATCTTCAGGAGAATGAGGTGCAGTTGTTCTTTTATCTGTCATTTGCTCCTCCTATATTTCTAATGTGAGGTCTAATGATTTTGAAATATTTATCTAGAAGATTTTCACTGTAAGTCTTTTACATTAGTATAACCAACTAGTCATCAATTGAAGGAGAAAAATACATGGAGCTTAATTTAGTCACTGTTTTATCATTCTGTAATTCATCTTTTTTAGGAATTATATGTTTTCATGTTTTTGTTGCTTGATACAAGTAATTTTAGGTATAAGTACTGTTGTACATACATGTATTGATCATGTCCACACTTTTATTTCTAAACAGAGATTATGGCCTTTCCTATCTGTCTTTAAGAACCAGCATTGGTCTGTGGACTGCTTTTTTGTGCATTGTTTTGGTTGCAACAGATGCAAGCAGCCTTGTGTGTTACATCACTCGATTTACAGAGGAGGCTTTTGCAGCTCTCATTTGCATCATATTCATCTATGAAGCTTTGGAGAAGCTTTTTCACTTAGGAGAAGTGTACGCGTTTAATATGCACAATGATTTAGATAAACTGACCAGCTACTCGTAAGTACTTCCATTTCTCTCTAATATTAAAATATATTTTTGCCAGTGTCAGAGCTTAAGAAAATGGAGTTTTTGTAAGTGTGGTTTTTGCTGTGTCTACCTCCAAATACCCAGTCAGCCATAAAGTAGTTGACATATTTGTTTCCCATGAGGTTTTACTTCAGTGGATATAAATATAGTTGATCAAGTTCATTCATTTTTGCTCACTGAGGTAACTTATGTGTGTTGAATCTTGCGTTGAGATTGGATTGGCCAATTTAAATTTGACTGACAGTTACCCTACCATAAATTAGTATTAGGCAGTTATATTGGGTCTTAAACTTTTTGACCAAATCTGAGGCATGTAGTAGGATGTAGGATATATTTGTTATATTTATATATTCGTTATAATATTTTACATCTTCACTGAGTTTCTGAAGTTTGTTAATACTCAGTATCTTTTTAGTAGAATTTTACTGTATTATTATGTTTATGGACTATTTTCTTTGAAAGAAACATGAAATGAAAATGATTTTGAACTCTAGAGTAAAATAGAATTTGAAGAGGCATGTACAGTAGTTATGAAACATTAGTAGATACAATCAATAAAAAGTAAAATTATCCAAGAAAATGCCTATACCTGGTGACTTTAGCAGGTGTGCTTGGTGTAAATGTGGTATTCCATTTGATTGACTTACAGAAATATGGTCATCAAAAAACAAACAGGTGCCAACCTTTCTCCTCTATCCACCTAAGCCCCTGCACCCTCTATTCTTCCCTTTGTCCTTTTTTCTCCCCCTGCTGCCTTTCTTCCCCTTTCTTGCATACCTTCATCGTTGATGGACAAGTAGGGATGGGAATGAAAATTCCTATATGACCTGGACTTATTTGAAAACATCAAAGACACTTTGATGTTAAATCTATAGTCATCCTTTATGTATACTTCACTTTTTCTTTTTTGGCTACTCTCTTTCCTCCCTTTGTCTTTTTAACCTTTTTGCACCATGGCTTTTATTGTTAGTGACAGCCTGTTAGAACAGTGTTTCTTTTTGGTTAACTGAGTTTTCCATGTTAATTGCATTCATTCACTTAACATTTTATGAGCGCCTGCAGACATTGTGTTTACAGTTGCCTAATTCATATTTTAGTGTTAACGCCATAGCCCCTTTCCTCTGTGCAGAAAATCAATCCTTAGAGGTTGAAACTTGTAGATCAAAGGGCTGATACATGATAGAGCCTGAGTGGGCTCTAAATCCTGTTTCTTGCCTTTTCTCAAATAGTTCATAATCTAATGAGAGTATTTATTTTTTTTACATTTATTTTTAGATTTGTATTTTGAGGTTTGTTTATTTGTATTTCTAACTTTTTTAGGCAGTGGAAATAGTTCTAGATAGGAGCTGAACTCTGATTTTATCAGTCTCCTAATCCTATCCTGATGAAAAACTATTTATTTCAGTAAGAATGTGGTATGTACACACTGTGGAGTACCCCTTTCCCATTATGAACGGTAAACTTGAGTCATTTGTGGGAGCATAGATGTACCTGGAGACCATAATGTTAAGTGAGCTAATCAGACACACAAGCTTAAATATCACATGGTTTCTCCTATATGAGGGGCCCAAATTATAAATAAAGAGCAAAATAAGAGGGAGATAATAGGAAGTAGGGAGGTAGATCTTCCTCAAGTAGGAAGGGGATCAAGAGACGGAGAGAGGATGATGTGAAGGGAGGGAAAGCGGATGAACAAAAGAATGAAGATGTGTTATATACATGTCCCAACTCCACACAGAGAGTGTAAGCAGACACTATAAATGTATACTGATTTTAAAAAATGAGTCTTGCGCCAGGGTTGTAGCTCAGCAGCACAGTGCCTGCCTGGCAAGCGTGAGACCCTGAGTTCAATTCTTGGTACCAAAAAAGAAAACAGTAAAAGAAAGAATCTTAAGGTCAATGAAGATTGAATAACAGTAGCAGGGCTTAATTAATAGGGCTTAATATTAATTAATAGCAGGGCTTAATGAATAGTACTGTAACTTTTATTGGAAATATGTGCATGTTGAGAGCAGGAGGAGACGGTAGTAACTACTATGGAGTATGAGGAGAGAGGTAAGGGGAGTAATCTTACCTAAAAACATGGTAGTGTCATCTGAAATTCTTTAAAAGAAATTTTTAAATATGTTAACAAATTTGATTAAGTAAACATTTTATCATTATTTGTATTGGTTCTATTTATAGCACCCAAATTTTATTTTGTTGTTTTTGATATGCTTTTCCTTCCTAGTCCCCATGCTTTGCAACATGGAAAAAAGTTTAAACTAAAAGCTACCACCTTATTTATGCAAATGATTTAGTAAACATGAACGTAAAATTCAGGACCCCTAAAACTTTCTACTACTCTTAATTTCTCAGATGTGTATGTATCGCACCTCCTGATCCTAGCAATGAAACCCTAGCACTGTGGAAGAACAAGAATTTAACCTCACATGGTATTTCTTGGAGAAATCTCTCTGTTTCTGTAAGTATATTATGAAATAAAGATTTTTTGTCACTATTATGTTAATCTGTTTCTTTAGCTTTTTCTCATTATATTTAAATTTTCTTCTATATGAATGGATTTGTAGCATGTTTTCAGAATATAGTGTTTTAACCATATAGTTTCTGCTTTTGTGTGGGGAAGTGCTCATCCACTAAAAAGTACAGGCTGAAAGGAATGAAGCTGGTAAGAGATAAAAACGGACTATATTTTCCTTCTAGGACAGAAATATGCAAAGATGTGAGTATAGTTGTGAACCTTGTCTAACTCTTAGGAGGCTAGTCTGATTCAAGTACTAAGAGAACAAACAGGAATGAAAAATGGCGAAAACATGTTATGAGCACCTGTCATATGCTGAAGGCTGTTGCAGGTATTCTGTAATATTGGGAAATGCTGTCCTAGGTGTAGAATAGCCATGATATAACACTTACGTATTCATAAGCAAGACAAGGTTGGGAAGTAGGAATAAATGTGTAAAGCTGTGTCAGCACTCAGAATTAAAACTAACATTCCCTGAGTTTCTGTGGGTTTTCAAAACTTTTAAAAATACCTTTTAAGTACTATAGGTCATTCCTTTCTTGCTAAAGGGAATGACCACTAATCATATAATTTCCATCTGAAATTTTATCCCACTTTTAACATAAAGCTATGCTGTCCAATCTGATATCCATTAGTATATATATTTAAATTAACTAATAAAATTAATGAAAAGTATACTTTTTCAGTGAATAGTCAGATTACCAAGTGTCCAGCTACCTCATGTGGCCACTAGCTTCTGTACTGAACAGTGCAGAAATATATCATTCTGTCACAGAAAGTCCTCTTGTATGGTGTGGACTTAAAGCAGTAACAGTCAGTAGTCAACTTAAATTCATCCTCTCCTATTTATATTTAAAGTCATTTTTAAATGGTAGAGGTCTAGTTAACTAAGGTACTTGAAAGTGATTTGTAAAAGAGCATTTTTCATGATAAATAAGATGCGGAGGTATTTTCAATGTGTTTGATATCCAAGAGCCTGTGTTAGGTGATTGTTTTTGTAGCTTTTAATTCCATGATCCATGGATTATACGAGGTTTACCATTCTCAGCACATGAAAGTTGAAAACTAGTGGAAATTTTCAATCTTTTAGTAATCTGAAAGGGTTTTTGTTTTGTTATTTATTCAAATGAGATACATTTTTAAGAATATAAGTGAGGAAAAGAAGGTCTTTAGAGTCCTGTGCTTTTTGTTAATGTCTGGTTGCCTTTCAGGTGCTTTTTCTTTCAAAAGGAAAATCAACTCAGTAAACTTTTGTAATTCCTTATGCAAAAATTTGTTCATATCATTGATTTTACTAATAAAAATATTATTTTATTGGCCACTTTATTAGTCCCTAAACATGATGTATTTAATTCCAAGGTCTTGAGTCACATCAGGAGAGCTACTCACAGTTTTTACTACTGACTCCAGTTTAGTATTATAACCGTCTCCTTGTCATCATCATAAAAGGACATAGTAGCTATGGACCACTCTTTGCTACTTTTGTTTTAAACCACCTGTTCAGGGGCTGGGGATTTAGCTCAGAGGCAAAAGCGCCTGCCTGGCAAGCCGAAGGTCGTGAGTTGGGTTCCCAGTACCGGAGAAAAAATAAGACAAAAAAGAAAAAAGAATAGCTGATAAAGATTTTGGGGCTGGGGATTTAGCTCAGCGGCAAAAAGCGCCTGCCTGGCAAGCGCAAGGTCGTGAGTTCAGTTCCCGGTACCGGAGAAAAACCAAAAAAATAAAAAAAAAAAAATAAACCACCTGTTCAGAAGTAAAGGAATGATGGTAAAATTGTGGACTAGCAAGAATGGAAAGGGAGCATTTCATAGTTCAGTAGTCGTCCTGAGCTGTTCACTAGGGAAGCATATAATTGCAAAAGAGGAGAAACTTGGGGAAGTCCTGTGATTTCGGTGATTTATATGGACAAATAAACATTGCTGACCTTAAGATGTGTCTTGTAGTTAATAATATATTGTAGTTGGCTTGAGAGTGTCCTTTCTAAGTGGATATATAGTTTGAGTGAGTGAGATTCATTAATACTTTACTGAATATTTGAAAATTCCTTCCATCTCCTTTTTCCTCTTTTTTTTCCAGGAATGTAAAAGCTTTCATGGTGTATTTGTAGGATCAGCTTGTGGTCACCATGGACCTTATATCCCAGATGTGCTCTTTTGGTGTGTCATCTTATTTTTCACAACCTTTTTTCTGTCTTCATTCCTCAAGCAGTTCAAGACCAAGCGTTACTTTCCTACCAAGGTAACTGGGGTGGAACTTTGGTATTCTCGTAATATTCATGTTTTTAATCTTTCAATTTTTTGGTTTATTTTGAAACAGTATTATTATTTAAGTGTAATACTTTATGCCAGATAGTAATGAAGCAATTATTTATAGTGAAAAACATATCGTGTCTGAGCTCATCATAGAAATACCATGGTACAATGAAATAAAGGTAGGTCAGTTGTGAATTGTTTCTTTGGGGAAAGAATTAGATATAAATGTATGTCACTGATTATACTAGAGTGGTTTAAAATCCCTTTCATCCTTTTTAGTGGGATTTTATCTTGAAGGATGACTTATTTAGAAGGGACACAGTGTTTTCGTGTTTATATTAACATACTCCCTTTAACATAGGTGCGATCGACAATCAGTGACTTTGCTGTGTTTCTCACAATAGTAATAATGGTTGCAATTGACTACCTTGTAGGAGTTCCGTCTCCTAAACTTCATGTTCCTGAAAAATTTGAGGTAAGGATTAAAATAAGTGGCTGTTTCTTACTTGAGAGTATCAAACTCCTTTAAATTGAGATGCTGCCCTCTGAGTACTTACCACCCCTGTGAAGATTTAGGAGTTGTTTAAAAAATAGACTCTCCTTTTGTAGCTGGAGTTTCTGTTTCTTCTCAGTGCCTCTTAGTATTACATGACTAACTGGACTTCTAGATGTACTTTCCCAGGGAAAAGAAACATTCTTTATTCCTTTACAAATTTTCTACCAGGACAGTTTTTCTGACAGTAATCAGAGATCTCCATGTAACATTTTCTAGCAGAATCACCAGAAAATCAGATATGTTCTATAAGAAAAATGATATTTAATGAAAACCTCCATTTGAATCTTCCCTTTTATTGGCAGATTTCTTTTCAGCTGTACCTTGAACATGAGTTGTACCTGTGTGGATCCATTTACATGCTCCTTAAGGAGATTTGTTATAATTTGGAAATAAAAAACTGTCTAGTCTAGAAATGTTGAAAAAGTTAAGAAAAAGTTAGGTAGGTCATGAATGCTTAAAATACAGATATATTTATAGAGACATAACGGTCTATTTTTAACCGTGTAACAGTTTAGCCTGGGGGTCACTCGGAGTGAACTTTCGTACTAACTATTCCTGAGTATCTCTTGGGCAGGTGTCATTCATCCAGTAGATTGCTGTATTAAATAAATTTGAATCTTTTTTTTTTTTTTTTTTGGTTTTTTTTTGGTTTTTCTCTGGTACCGGGAACCGAACTCTCGACCTTGCGCTTGCCAGGCAGGCGCTTTTGCCGCTGAGCTAAATCCCCAGCCCCTGTATTAAATAAATTTGATAAAATTGTTTTTATATTTCCTGTTACGTTACAAAATTTAATGAAAAAAATTAATTTTTGATCATCCTGTATTAAATAATTGGACAGGTAAGTGGCTGATAACTATAAAATATACAGGAATCTATTGTAAAAAATTAAGTTACCAAAATATGCGCAGATACGGTGCCAATTGCGGTGGGGAAACTAAACAAATGAAAGACATGCTATTAAGTCACAGCTGTTTAAAGCTAACTGTAGTGCCTAGTGTACTACTGTAATGGTTTCATAGCTACTGTACCTCCTGTTGCTATTTGCAGTGAGCTGAAGCGCTGCAGGCTTTCGTTTGTCACCTTGAGCCCTCCTCCTCTCCCTGTGTGCATGTTACTCTCCGGTAGACTATGTGCCATGTGAAGAAGTGATCCCTGCTGGTTGTTACTGTTTCTCATTGTGTGTAATGTACATATAACCTACAGAATATGTGTTCACATTACTGTGAAGGCTACAGAATACTATTTGTAGTTAAGTTTTTGGAAAGCCAAAAGTTACAACTTGGATTTTCAAGTATAAGTGGGGTCAGTGACCCCAACCTCTCCCTTCTACATTGTTCAAGAGTCGAATACATATTTTTTCTGGTCTGCCTTTGTTTTCTTTCATTCACTTCTGTTTATGATTATACGGTAAATAAAAGAGCGCATTTTATGTCATGTTACTGATTATATTTATCTTTACATTTAGTAATTTATGTGAATTTTTTTAGAAATAGATTTCTTAAAAGGAACTAAGGAGTATAAGGTTGTTCCAATCTGTTTTATCTTTAATTGGCATAAAAAGTATCATCATTGAAACCAGTGGTCTCCAAAGTAGGATACACGGATTAAAAATGACCCATCAACATATTTATAAACTATGTGTATTTTAATACAAAATAAAACTTTAGAATATTTACTCTATTGATAACCAAGGTAATATATAAAGTATAGATCATTTGAGTTTATAATTTTAATTTTATTATTTTTATTTTTTTGTCACTAAGGGTTTACAATAAAACGAGTTTGGAGACTTCTGTTTAAAACCACAGACCAGTGATGGCAAACCTTTTAGAGCTTTCAGTGATATAAACAGCTCACTGCAGCACACATGCCATAGGTTCGCCACCTCTACCATAGACATTGCACCCCAGAGATTTGGAGTCATTAAGAAATGACTTGTATTTACTTTCACTTATAAGAACATATGAATAGGAGAATGGTAATTTTAATAGTGGTTTAAAATATTGATGTATCTGCTGTAATCCTAGTCCAAGTATCTTACTGGTTTTCTTAAATATATGCTTATTATTTGTTTATTGATGCAACTTTCAGAGCAGACTAATTTTAGGATGCATAAAATATAATTGGGGAACCAAATTATGGAACACAAAAATAAATACATTGTATAAATGAAATATTTTTATTCTTATACATTGTCAAATGTGGAGCAGTTTTAATATATATTTGTGAGAAGGTGGGAGTACTTGAACTTTGAAAGTATTCCTCTTTTGTGCTAACATTCAGTATCTTAAACAATTATAGGTAAGTATGTGAGTATAGGTAATAAAAACATAGGTTTACTTTGAAATACATTTACTATTCTGCAAAAGTACTTTCTTGTGATCTTTTAAAATTTTTGGCTATAAAAGTAAGTTTTATGTTACAGCATCAAAGTCTATTAGTATCTGATAAGGTACCAGATTTTTGTCAGTTACTTTGGGAAAATAATGTCCTCATAGCTACTTTCTATTTAATACCAACCCTGGCAAGATCACTAGTATCTAGGATCTCTAAAGCAGTTTAATTTAAAAGTTGATCTGGTGTGTGGATTATGAAGTGCAACGGACCATGTTGAATGACACTCTGATTCAGTCTTGCTCCTGCATAACAAAACTCCTAGAAATGTAGTCGCCGAACGACAGCTTTTATTTGTTGGTGATTTTGTGCCAATTGGGAGTGGGACTAGCTGGCTTTTTCGATCTTGTGAGACCTTCATATGGCTGTGTGACATCTAGTAGCTTCTTGGAATACTATGGCTTCATCCACATTTCTGGGGACTCAGCTCAGATGATTGAAGTAGCTGGGGTGGTACTGGTTTCCTTCCCCGTCCTTCCTCACCATATTACGTTATGTCCATTGTATTATGTTCCCAAGAAAGCTTATCTAGGCTTACTCAATAGCATAATCTTCTCACGATTCCAGAAGCTATAGGATTTCTTGAGGTCAGCACTTGGAAGCCACACAATGTCACTTTGGCTCTATTCTATGGATTAAAGTTATAAGGTTATTCCAGGTTCAATGGAGAAGGGAAGCACCCGCAAAGAGTGCCTAAGTCAGGTGATAGGAGGCATGCTGTCTTTGCGGATAATTCAGCTAGATTTAATTGAGTTCTTATAGTCTCACTCTATGCTGTGGAAATTTAGTGCAATAGAAGAATAAAACTTAAATTTTTTTCTTTATTTTTTAACAGCCTACTGATCCAAATAGGGGCTGGATCATAAGCCCATTGGGAGATAATCCTTGGTGGACCTTACTGATAGCTGCTATTCCAGCTCTGCTTTGTACCATTCTCATCTTCATGGATCAGCAGATTACAGCTGTAATCATAAACAGAAAGGAACACAAATTGAAGGTAATTTTTAAATTTTGTGTCAAACATTGTGATTTCTTCAGAGCTTGAGTTTTCATAATTGGAATAAAAGATGTAAGGTGAAAATCAGTTTCTTCCCTTTTTATAATTAACATAGAATTTTGCCCTGGTTAGTCTTGGAAATATTTGTGTTCATTTTACTTTTCAGAAAGGGGCTGGCTATCACCTTGACTTGCTGATGGTTGGTGTCATGTTGGGAGTTTGCTCTGTCATGGGACTTCCATGGTTTGTGGCTGCAACGGTGTTGTCAATAAGTCATGTCAACAGCTTAAAAGTTGAATCTGAGTGCTCTGCTCCAGGGGAACAACCCAAGTTTTTGGGAATTCGTGAACAGCGGGTTACAGGACTAATGATTTTTATTCTAATGGGCCTCTCTGTGTTCATGACATCAGTACTAAAGGTAAAAATCTTTTCATTGCAGTGCTTTAAAATCTCATTTATCATAGCATTTATATTTACTTGCATGAAAATTAAACATTAAAATTAACTTAAAGATCTAAAATCATTTTTATTTTACTCTGTAGTTCAGGCTGGCCTTAAACTCACTGTGTAGCCCAGGCTGACCTCAAACTCATGGCAACCTTCCTGCCCCAGCCTCCCAATTACTGGGACCACAAGTGTGCATCACCATACCTGGCTAGATTTTAAAAATATATTTCCTTTTCTTCATAAGTTACTTCTTTATTTTCCCAAAGTTCTTAGAAAAGCATCTAGGTCAGTTTGGTGTGGTGCGGTAGGTATAGTTTTCCTTCGTGTTGTTGAGTCTTTTTTTCCCTTACAGGCCTCTCATTTTGGTCAGAGAGATGATTGTGGTTTTGAGAAAATTGAGGGGCCTGTGAATAGCCAGGCTTTACTTTAGAGTGCCTTGGTGTGTCTTAGATAGGTGGTTTAGGATTTCCATAACTTTGAGAGTAGTAAGGCCTTTATTTTAGAGGTGGAGTTCAATTATAGTATTTAGTAAATACTACTGTACGGTGTTGGCCTTATAGGAGGTATTGACCATAATTGTAATTCCTAATGTCTTGTCAGTGATTTTTAGTGTTGCAAGTGCTTTTTTGACTTTTTTTTTTATAATAATGTAATTGTCATAGCTGTCTGCTATAGAAACTCAAGCATGAAAATGTTTTTTTGTTTAAAAAGTGAACTAGGTTTTTAAACAAAGTAATCTGACGGCAGTTCCTATTCTTTTAGCCATTGAATATACTCCCCTTTTGGGAAGGAACATGTAGAAGATGAACAGTTTTTCAAGGAGTTTATGGTTCTTAGCATTTTTTTAGGTATAGAAATATTAATTGATTGAACCTTCCTCAGTAAAGACTTTTTAATTCTGTCACTAAATTTATATTTCTGTGTACTTGTTACTGTGTTTTAGTAGCATATTGAGTAATATTGTGTCTAGTAGTATTGTTTTAATATTAATTGTGGTAATTTTACTTACAGTTTATTCCGATGCCTGTTCTGTATGGTGTTTTCCTTTATATGGGAGTTTCCTCATTAAAAGGAATCCAGGCAAGTCTTAAATGTTTAATGGTTTTGTAGAAAAACTTAAAATTACTTTAAATACGTGGAAATTGTTTTTATGATGGTAGTGACTTTTTCTCCACCCTTGAAGGACAGTGTTTTCTCTAAACTAGTAACTGGAGATCCATATTGCCAAGTAATTGTTGCTAACTGTGCCTCCCCTCTAAGAATTGAGATTGTGAGCTGATGTGGCCCTCACCTACTTTTAACTAAAGCCAACAACAAAAACCCCTCTAACTCTCAGGACAGAGTGTCACAGTATGAGGCAGATCAAAAGAAGTGGAAAGGGAGAAAAGTGCTACTTGTAACGCATAGAACACCAATTTCAGTACTTTTTTTCACCAGAGTTTAAAGTCAGTTTATCAAAAACTTCAAAAAGAAGATGTTAGTTTAACAATGGTATTGCCTTTAGTTTGTATGGCACAATATGATTTAGAAGGCTTAGGACATAATTTTTTTCTGGGATGCTCAAAATGGTGGTTGAGAAAGAGGAAAGAAACCTTAATTTTGTAAACCAGGAAACAGGTAGAGGGGCTTCCAAAGGTTATTAGGTAAGTAAACAATGGGGCAAGGCCAGAACCCAATTATTTCACTACTCTGTCTTATCTTCTGCTGCTTCCTGAAAAGATCCTGGTGAAACTAAGATTAGTACAGATATTAGTGGGAAATGTTTGGGTCAGCACAGGCAGGCTCTCTTGACCTCTTTTTCTCAGGAAAGGATGTTGTCTACAGCTGCCAGCTGGTGTCCTGGTGGCTGCAGGATTTTTTGAAGGCAGCTTTTTTTTTAAGTTTAGCCCAGGATCTCTGCTCTTTATTAGTCAAGGAATGTTCTCATATATCTCACTTGGTTTTTATAGCAGTTTTGTGAGATTGGTAGGGCTGATTCTATTTCCAGCTTATAAATGAGAAAATTAAAGCACAAGGAAGCAAGAAATTTGCTCAGGGTTTCCTTTTCAATGAATGAAGAATTGGAGATTGTGACTTCCAGTTATCTTCATAGAACCTGTACTGTTAGGCTTGGAGAGTACCTTAGAAGTCATTCAGATTGTTACTCATATAGTTGTACATATTAGAAAACAGGTTCAGACAGATTAAGTGACTTGTACATTTGACTTCATGTAAATGTTTTGTCCTTCCTATAAAAACATTTTGTGTTGGGTTTTCTAGTTAATTTCAGTAGTTGAAGCTGAGTTTTCTCTGTTCAGATCCAGAGATTCTTTCTACAACAGTCTCCTGTACTATTAGAACATATCAAGGAAGTTGCAGTTTAAATTTAGCATGTAGAACCCTCAGTTTGAGTACAATTTCATTTCTGATCACTGGAAATGGTAGTTGAAAACTTTCTTTTTTGTTTTGTTTCTCTTCCATCTAGTTTTTTGACCGTATAAAATTATTTGGAATGCCTGCTAAGCATCAGCCTGATCTTATCTACCTCCGCTATGTACCTCTCTGGAAGGTCCACATTTTCACAGTCATTCAGCTTACCTGTCTTGTTCTATTGTGGGTGATAAAAGCTTCAGCTGCTGCAGTAGTTTTTCCCATGATGGTAAGTCTTTTCAGATTTATTTGGTCATCACTGAATAATATGATTGTATAGTTTCATAGTAATTCCTCTTAAATTTATAATTGATCTTGAGAAAAAGAATAGACCATTTTAAGTGTCTTAGGTATTTAAGGATCTAGATTACCTCTTTGCAGCTGTAAACCAAATCTTTTCCAATCTGAATTTTCGTGTCATTTTCTAGATTTCTTTAACTCTTTAGCCTTGGGCTGTAAGAGCTCTAGTTTCTTTTGTTTTGTTTTACTTCATTTTTCCTTTTCATTTGCTGTGGTGCTAGTAGTCAAACTCAGGGCTTCATACATGCTAGGCGAGCACTGTACCACTGAGTTACACTCCCGTCCCTAGAGTTCTGTTTTGTATTTTTAAAGAATTTAAAAATTTATAACATTTATGGAACAAATATAATGCCAAATTCAAAAATAAAGCAACCAAAACAACATAGTTCTTTGATTATTTCATTATGCCTTTTTTACAAATTGACCAAGCTAGAAGTTAAAAAAATTATAAAGACTATAAATAATTTTAATAAGATAGTCTAATTCATTATAAAAGTAGCTAATGATTCTGGCATCAAAATAATTATTAGCATATTTCTTGAAAATGTGATTGTGTACCTTTTAACCCTTAGTTAAAATCAAAGAGACTGAAAACCCTTGGTAGAGTTATTTAGAATAGTGTTAGGGGAGATGGATGCCAGAAGACATGGAAATTAGTAGATTGTCTACTTCTGCAGTAATGCTAGAAAATGGGAAAAAATATTTTTCATAGTAGTGATCAAAAATCATGAAGTATTTAAGAATTAACTAAAATAAAATTTAAATAGAAATTTTAAAGAAAAAAGTATGTAATACTAGTTTCTTAGGGCATGGTTTAAAACAACAAAAATGTATTGCCTTGCAATTCTGGAAGCTAGAAGTCTGAAATCAAAGTGTGACCGGGTCTACGCTCCTTCTGAAACCTGTGGAGGCATCGTGCTTCATCTGTAGCTTGCAGTGGGCTGCTGCTGTTCTTGGCATTCCTTGGCTTGCAGCTGCATTAATTCCAGTGTCTCCACTTGGCAAGACATTTTATAAGGGAACAGTTCATACTGTATTAAGAACCCACTCTTCCCCAGTATGACATTTTCTTAGTTACATCTGTATGAACCTTATTTCCAAATAACATATTTTGAGATATTGTGAGTTAGGGCTTCAACTTGTCTTGTTTTTGCAGTACTGACAATCAGACCTCAGGCCCTTGCACTGAGCTGTATCCCTATCCCTTTTTGAGACAGGGTCTCACTAAATTGCCCAAGCTGAGCTTGAACTCCTGCCTCAGCCTCCCAGAGTGCTGAGATTATAGCCATGCACCACCACGCTCAACTTCAACTTGCCTTTAATGGGGTAAAAAATTCAACTTTAGCAGTAGTAAACAACATAAAATAAGACCTGAACCAACAGATATGCCATGCTGCTCGTTATTTCAGTTTTCTGAAGGTAGTTTATAAATGTAATACAGTTCTAAGCATGAATTTTATTAGAGTTAATATATGTATTGAGATATAGGGGCGTGGTATCATTGTGAACTAGATAAACAGTTTTAAAGTTTATAGAGAAAAATGCCAGACTCATAACAATATAGATTGTAAAAATGTTCAGTATTGTCAGTGTGGGTTACATGGATATATAATTGTTACAGCATCCAACTGTTCACATGGTTTTTCTATTTTATTGTATGTAAATTGTATATTTAAAAAGAATAAGGATATAGTATATGTCATAAAGTAACAAAACAAAGATAATTAGAATTGTAGAGTGGGGTGGGGAGCTTTGCCTGTTCTGTTGGGACCATATTTTTGGATAATGAGGTCTTTAAAAATTGCTGTCAAGTCAGTATAGCCAATACGGTATGGAAATGGCATAACAAGAGACAGACAGATTGGAAAACAGACTAATGAATCCAGAAATTTATCTGAGTATATGGCAGTTCTATCACATGGATATATTTAAATTATTTAAAGAGCATTTTGAAGATGGTGTCATTTCTCCGGGCAGTTTTAGTATGTGGTGTTGGAAAAGCTAACTGTGTACACTGGGAAGTGTACAAAAGCTCGTACTCCCCATCTCACACCGTGTTCAGGGAGAAATTGTAAATGGGTTCAGGATTTAAAGGGTAAAATAAAGTTTTAGTAGGAAATTGAGAAGAATATTTGTATAATCCAGTGAGTGTAAGTAACTTTTCAAAGAAGACAGGTGAAACCCAACTGTAAACAAAAGGTATATATTCTTGACTACAAGATCGTTAAATGTTTTTTCTACATACAAAAGATATTATACATAGTAAAAATCATACTGTGAACTGTGTGAACTGGTAGGATGCCTTTTTAAAAGTATTTAAATGTATTTAACATGTTTTATAGTATTGTGCACAAAGCAAAGAGAAGATTAAAACATCCAATATTTTGGATTTTTTTATGAATTTTTATGAAAAATATTTGTAACATAAGGCAAATTTACAAGTTGGGACACAAAAATCAAAAAATGGGCAGGTGAAATGAATAGACCCTTCACACAAGTACAGATAGTCAATAAGTATATGAAGAAATGCTCGACATCACTGGATATTAGAGAAGTATAAGTTAAAACAACACTGAGAAAGAATGGTCGTCATCAAGAAATCATAGTAACAAATGCTGCAGAGGCTTGAGGGGTAAAAAGAAGCCTTATAAACTATTGTTGGGAATGTAAACTAGTAGAGCCTATGTGGATATCAGTATGGAGTTCCCTCCAAAAATTAAAACTAGAAATTCCATTTGACTCAGCTATTCTCTGGTATCCTCTGGAAAGAGTTAAAGACCTTATATTACAGAAATATATGCGAACCCATATTTATAGCAGCATAGTTCATGGTAGCTAAATCTTAGAAGTTGCGTGTATGTCCATTGACAGATGAATGTGTAATGAAAATGTGGTATTTATACACCATGGAGCACTACTCCACCATAAAGAAAGATAAATTTGAGTGATTTGTAAGAAAATGGATGCATCTTGAGCCCATATTATTAACAGACACTCAAGCTTAAATATTACCTTGCTTCTCGTATATGAAAAACCCAGAGTAAAAATAAAGAGTAAAATAATAGATTACAGGAAGTAGGGAGATAGGTCCTTCTCAAGGAGGAAGGGGATCAAGAGATGGAAGGAAGGGGATAAAGGAGAGAGGTGAAAGATGAAGAAAAGGAATTGGGACGTGTTTTGTGCCACTCTGCACGAGAAATGTAAGCATTCTGTACTATACACATTGTCTTGGTTACTTTTCTCTCGTTGCTGAGACAAAATACCCAACGCCCAAAATGAAGGAAGGAAAGGTTTATTTCGCTTACAGTTTGTGGAGGTTTCAGTCCATACTTGGCTGGCTCTGAGGCAAAAGGTAGCAAAGCAACAAGAGCAAAGGGGGGAATGGCAGCTGAACAGCAAACAGCCAGAGCAAAACTGGAGGAATGGCAGCAAGCAGCTTCTTTTTTCATGTCTTACTTTGTAAACAGGCTACCCCCACCTAAGGGGGTGTAGCTCTCACATAATCTCCATGCCCTCCTCTTCCATAGGCTCAGGATGTATACAAAGTATCTTGGCTTCCTGCTAAGTCACTTAGCCAAACCTCTAGACTCCCCAAGTTGACACAATGTTTCAACCATAACACACATGAACTTAATAAAGTAAACCGAAAAAAATCCTAAAACCCAATAGAAAAAAAAAGAGAAGCGAAATGTTAGGAAACAGCAGGTTAACAGAAGAGGAAATCCAAACAGCTAATCAGTATTTGAAAACAGGCTCATTCTCAGTGGCTGCAGAGGAAAAACAGATTAATGCCTTTTTCACACATGAGATTGAAACCTAATGCTGGAAACAGGTGATCTAATGCACTGCTCAAAAGCTTTTTGTATAAACTGGTAGGATGTCTTTTTTAAAGTTTAATATATTCACCATATTTAACATGTTGTCTTACAGTATTACGCAGAAAGCAAAGAGAAGATTAAAAAATTCAGTTTCCTTTTTTCTTCCTTTGTAGCTATTTTTAAAAGCAATTCGAAAAGGTAAATAGGTGACTCAGTTTCTTTGCAATAAGATAACGAATAAAATAATTTTTAAGCAAAATACATGATTTTCCCATTATTTATAAGATTTAATAAATACTTTTCAAGTGATATAATTTATATGTTGCTTAATATTCCTTCTCCTCACTTTTGAAGGTTCTTGCATTGGTTTTTGTGCGCAAGCTGATGGACCTGTGTTTCACAAAGAGAGAACTCAGTTGGCTTGATGATCTTATGCCAGAAAGTAAGAAAAAGAAAGAAGATGACAAAAAGAAAAAAGAGAAAGAGGTAAAAAGAGAAGAATTTTAATTTTTTTTAATATTCTTTTATTTAATATTCTCTTATTTAATGTATGTATAACAGGAACTATTATATAACCAATTTATTGACTGAGTTCCCTTAATCCTCATAAGAAGCTCAACAAGGTTTAGATACTGTTTTTCTGTTTTACAAAAAGGAAACTGAGGCAGGGAGATACTAGGTAACTTGTCTTAAATACTACCTCTTTCTCATTTCACAGTCTTGCCCTTGTGTGTCTCTAACACAAGAATTTTTGGAAAGTTACATACTGTGTGTATTTAACAGTAGAAGAATTAGAGGGTTTAGTAGTTTTAAAATATTAGTAGTGCCAAATAATTCTGTGTCATTGTCTGATTTAACTGTAAGTATGTTAACTGCATTAATTTTAGCATACATTTTAATAATCTGGTGTACGTACCAGTAAAAGGAGTTTTAAGTATATAGCTGTTTTTTAAAAAATGTATAGTGGGGCCGGGGATATAGCTCAGCAGCACAATGTCTGCCTGGTAAGTGCAAGGTCCTGAGTTTGGCTAAAGCTTTGGGTTTTTTTCAATTTGAGATGGCGTTTTGCTGTTACCTTGGCTGGTCTGGAACTGGTGGACTCAAGGGGTTCTTCACTTTAGCCTGCCAAGGAGCTGGGACCGCAAACATTTCCAGCGAAAGTGTGGTCTTTATGTTGACTGTTATGTATTACCACTAGTTAACTTGTAGACTTACGTACATGAATGCTTCATTCTGAATCATTTTTTTATTCTTAATTCATACACTGCTATCACTTAAGGAAAGTCAGACTAAATATGTAGTATAAGTGATTTTATTGATTGTAGTGCTATACTTAATTTTCTCATACACAATATTGTTTGAAAATCAAAGATAAAGATACACATTTTTAGAGGCTGAAAAATTACTGATTCTTTTTATTTTTGGCAAAAATTCTTACTGATATTAGGGCTATGAGGCTCCCAATACTTGTTTTTATTAAAGTTAATATGTAAATTCATATTAACATTTGTTAATATCTTCTACAGGAAGCTGAACGAATGCTTCAAGAGGATGACGACACTGTCCACCTCCCGTTTGAAGGGGGAAGCCTCTTGCAGATCCCAGTTAAGGCCCTCAAATATAGGTGGGATAAAAGTTTACTTTCTTAAAACAATATTTCATACCTATGTCAAGTACAGGAATAAGTCATATCATGGTTTAAACTAGTGATTTCTGTTTTTAAAAGATGACAAAAGCCTATGTCTGGTGTATGAACTGAAGGGGAGCTTCACACAGTTGGAAAAGGAAGTTCCTTGGTCCTTTTCAGCCCAGGTTCTAGCAAGAATGAGAAAAACTAGAGCTACATGAGAGCCTTAAACAAACTGTTGTGCCAAGCCAACATGATTTACTTGTCAGAAGGAAGGTTAAAGCCCGTGTACAAGTTTCAGAATGGCTCTGTCCATTTTTCTGGTCAGAATAGTACTTCTTCTCCTTTCCTGTCTTCAGGATGGCTAGGCTTAGTGTGTGCTGGAAAATGAACATTGAGTTCATTTTCTGATAACCTTCCAGTGTGTACCTGTGCAGAGGCTCAATAGCTCTCCTCATTTCCAAAGGTGTAACTTCATTATTGACAGTCAAGGTGCATATTATGGGAAATTATGAGTGGCTTTCATTTATAGTTCATCATATATTATTTTGGTGATAGAGTTTGGGAAAATGCATTTTTGTAGTTTAAAAGATTAAACACCTGTATTATTTGTATATACTTTGGCTTGTGTTTCTGCACACTTCCATTTCTGATTAGCTTTTTAGAGTTGAGAATTTAGTTGCACAATATATAACTTCCTTCTCTGACCAGTTGGAAAAAGTTCATTGGTGTTGTATTTAACTAACTTGTTTCAATCACTTTTCATCCTTATTTTTTATAGTTTTTATAGTCACATTTGGTCTTAGTACATGTAGGTTAGCTGTGATAAGTGAATTAAGCAAGTAATTGTCCTCTGTACTTCTTGCTATTAGTTTCTACTGTTGATATTATTCTATGTTCATTTTTCATAATTTTCCCTTCAGTCTTCCTACACTTTACAAACTATAGAAATGATCTGTGAAAGTATAGCTTTACATACACTTTAAATTCAGTGCTAAGTGTAGCATTTTTAATTTATCCAGTTAGGATACACCTCTTTGCCAGGTTTTATAAATGTGTGTTATGTGAATTTCATTGATTGTACCTCTAAAAAGATTATAGAAATTGCTGCAATGGTGACAGTTTCTTAAGGTTACTCGTCACTTAATTTCTACCCTGCTCTATCATTTTTTCAGTGTGACTGTAGAAGAACTTCACAATTCAAATGGAATTTATATTGTCTGATACATAACAAAAAGAATATCTTAGTTTTTCCTTTTTTTAAAAAATGATGGTCATTGTTAATGTTGCTTTTCTTAAAGTTGCAGCATCAAGAACGCCAAAAAACAGCTTACCTATTTTTTTTGCCAGAACTTTTCTTCTTAAATATCTTTGGATTATTTGCCCTGAAGATCAACTGAGATATTATATGAAAGCATGTGGAAAATGTAAAGCTCTCTAAAATATGAAAACAATTCATATAATGCAGGCAAACTCTTTTCAGCTAGTTTAATTTTGAGATAAAATAAACATATACTGTATTCAAAAAAGGGTGTTAATTTCTTCAAATGGGAAAATTCTTATTTAGAGGAGGATAGAAATTTAGAAACTTCATTTGGAATTCTTCTCTTCAGTTATTTGGAGTTGATAGCCAAGTGAGTAAAGGTTTACTGCAGGCAGGAAAAGCTGCAGGCTGCATGGCCCTGCCATGGTAAACTTGTGTGTTGAGACTCTCCTGTGACCCTGTCACACTTCTCTGTGATCTTAAAAGCTAAGCAACATTCTGACTTAAAGTGTCAATAAAGCTAGTACACCTGTTTAACCACTCGTAACCTAGCCACTGTCACATTGTTAATTTAACATCATCTAATTTGACATTGTTTATGGAGCTTGTTTGCATGAAATGTTTTTCTTTTAGTGAAGAAGAAATGGCTTGAAGATATTTCTGTTAACCTTACAGTACTTCCATATACTTGAGACTGATAACCTGGAGCCCTAAATTAACTATTTATGGACATCATTATTATTGGATTTGGGATCTTTAATTCATTTTTGCAGTAATTCATATACACCTAGAATTGTTACATTTATCCTTTATAATAAGTGGACAGTGTATCTTTCAATTTTGATAATGGATAAAATAACACATTGATGCTAAAAATGTGAGTGACAGCCAAAATGAGACTTATAAAGCTTTTCTAGTATTATCCTTTTAAGTATTTTCGGCACTTTGTTCTCAGTTGCAAAGTGTCATTGTTTTTTTTTTGAATGACTTATAAAAACTGAACAACAAGGATTTTGTTGTTTTTTCTTTTCTTTCTTTTGTTATGTTAATGCACTGTCCTACCTCAGCCTTGCAAGTAGTTAGGATTATAATTTTTTCTCACATACTGTGGATATTTATTTGAGACTGAAATTTGGGCCAATTAGGAAAGTTTTCTAATTGATACTGTTATATAAACATATTAGTATATCTTTTATATTATGTCAGTAATAATATAGCCAAGATGACCAGAGGGCATTATTACTGGAGTATTGCTGAAGTACTGCTGAAATCCCAAATCGAATTCTAAATCAAATTTCCATAAATAAATCTTGCTACTTGGTTTATTTGTTTGTTTGAGACAGGATCTTGCTATGTAGTCCAGGCTGGACTTGAATTCACTCTGGAGCCCAGGCTGGCCTTGACCTTGTGGCAGTCCTGCCTCAACCTCTAAGGTGCTGAGATTATAGGCATGTGCCACCATGCCAGTCAAAACTCACTAATTTAATTTCATGCTTAGTTTTAATTTTAAATGAAGATGTAATTCTCTCCATGAGGGCTTTACAAATGAACTCCAAGATTTTGATATCTTGGTGGACCTTGATTTAAGTGCATGACAAGGGTTTTCTCAATTTTCTGTTGATGAATGCAAATAATTGTGTAGATATAAATATGACAGTATTAATGCTTTGCAGGTACTGAATACTAACCATAAAGTGTATTTGTTCCTCAGTGTTGATCCCTCAGTGGTTAACATATCAGATGAAATGGCCAAAACTGCACAGTGGAAGGCACTTTCCATGAATACTGAGAATGCCAAAGTAACCAGATCTAACATGAGGTAGTTATAACTGTTCATGCATTGTCTACTTATTGCCAGTTTCCTACAGAGCTACGCAGTAAAGTCATCACACTTAACTTACCCAATTCGTATTTTACTTACTGCCTTTCTCCCTCACTTCTTCCTTTTGTCTATCATTTTACTATTAACTGATCAGATACTAGTAATGATTCTGTTGTATAATTTTAAAATTTACATAGTTGTATATTTTAGAAAACAATTTAAGCTGTTTCTATTAAAAAGGAAATTTCATATAACAGCGTAAAATAGATGTATAAAAGTTTAAAAAACATGCAAAGAAAGATAATTACTAGGGACTAAATAAATACTCTAATTGAACACTAAGTCATGCATTTTGCTGGTCCAAGAAAAACAAAAACCAGTTGTTTTCCTTATGTTTTGATTTGTTTCACTTGGCTTGGCTTTCATGTGTCATTTTTTCAGGTAAGGTAAATGCTTTTCCTGAGGATATTTGGAAGAAATTAAATTCATTAATATAATGACCATTATAATGAACCAAGTATTAAAAGTCATATAACCCTTTCCTTACATGTTTTTCTTCCTTTGCCCTCACTACAGGGCTGAGACCGTGGAATTGTATTTGATAATCTTTAGAACTGTAATTCTCAGGTCTCTGAGACACCATGTCAGAGTATGTGTGCGAATGTATAAATGACACCATGTCATTCATACTCAACTAGTGTCTTAGGTTTACTTTGTATCAGATGCTATGCTGGGTATGATAATATTTTGCTTGAACTTCAGATCACGACCTTCCCCAGCAGCAGATAGTCATATAGCTAATGTTAATTGCTGTCTTTCTGAACTCTGTCTGGTAATAATAATTAATTAGCTTTTCCCCCCATCTACCTATAGAACCTTTTTTCTACTTAATACCTGTCACAATATGTTTTACTTTTCTACCATTGTTTCTGGAGTTCTGTTCTTCTAACCAGAACGCAAGGTAGTATTTCCTGTTTGCAGTCTGTAGAGTTGTTGTTTGCTGTACAGCGACAGGGTTGTACTAAGTGGCCCGGCCTGGGTTCAAACCCACGATACACCTACCTCCTGAGTGCTGGGATTCCCAGTGTAGACTGCCTTGTAAAGCTTTCCAGTTAAGTTCTTTGTCCTTCTGATCATACTGCCAGAACCTCACTGATCTCTTTAATGTTAATTACTGGGTTTCATACTTGTGGCCCAAGGTGTTACATAGTTATGATAAAAATAAAGACCTTTTTACCTTTCATTCGAGTTGCCCTTCTAATTCCAGATGACAGGAGAGTAAGGAGAATGTCTTTGCAATGTCGTTTTGACAAAAAAAAAAAATCATTAGGAGCTGTTTCATTCAATTTGTCTAAAGAAAGCAGCAAACAGTACTGCTCTGAAAATGTTTTTCAAAATCCAGCTGTTGGGGCTGGGGATTTAGCTCAGCGGCAAAGCGCCTGCCTGGCAAGCTCAAGGTCGTGAGTTCGGTTCCCGGTACCAGAGAAAAACCAAAAAAAAAAACAAAACAAAACAAAATCCAGCTGTTGTCTGACAATTACATCAGTCAATCAAGTAATTAAATCCATATATAGGGAGTGATTTTATATCATTAACTTAAAAATGTAGAATAGTGTGCTGTTCTTGTACTTGTGAGCCAAATTTAGGAATGGAAATCTTTCCAGTTTGTTATTTTTTTAAGGAAATTACTTTATACCTATCTACATTAATAAAGATTTGTGTTAGTGGATTTTTCTGCGAGATAAAAGTCAAATAGTATAACTCTTATTTATGCATGAAGTAAAACTGGTAACCATTGTTATATACTGACTCATTTTAGGGAATGGTTTTCTATTAAAAATGTAATTTTTAAAAAAACTAAGAATTTTTAATAATGTGACTTTCTGATTAAGTTTACTGGTACTAAAAATAGGCGGTAAAAAATAAAAATGAGCAGTAAAATTAAAGTAGCAAGTCATGCGTTAGTAGTGTCTTTGGATAATCATCTCAAAAGGTTTAACATAGATGCTCATTGTCAGCCATGTTTAGAATCTAGTATTTGTTCTTTTAAATTTTTTCTCATTCTTTGTTTTAAATAGCCCTGAAAAACCTGTCAGTGTGACAGTAAATTTTGAAGATGAACCATCAAAGAAATACATGGATGCTGAAACTTCCTTATAGAATTGAACCAAGCAGAATTATATATAGATATAGATGTATATCTATAATGTATGTGTGTGTGTCGTATCACTCTAACAATATTGTACGTCATGCTATGTGTGCATGACTGCTAGGTGTTTTGAAATAATACCTGACGTTTGTTACAAGCACCATGGAGACTGTGTATATTAATGAAATAGTCTCTTAGAAATGAGGTACATGGTTGTTATTATTAAAATATTTATTCTGTTGGAAAAAAGCTTTTCTGTTATGCAGTAGAAAGATGTAGAGAAATGCACTGCAGGCTTTCTTAAATGTCTCTGTTCGTCAGTGGCAGTTCATACCAACCTGAAGTGGTACCTACTTAAGTTTATAGTTATCATTTTACTTGAGTGTCTAAAAACATTCACCTATTGCTTCACCTTTGTTAGCTTAGTACTTTACAGAAAGAACTGTGCTGTGAGATCAGTGACGTGCTGGCTTCTGTGTGTGTCTTATTTCTGTGCTGTCCCCCCTGCTGCACAGGTGACAGCATTTCTTGGCCATAGAGGTGATTGGACAGCAGCGGGAACTTTCAGTCTAGGAACTATAGTTTTTAACCTTTAGTTTTAGGATTTTTTTTATACCTTGAAACTTGCATATCTAGGTTTCTATTCTAAAAGCCAAGTAAATTATAGGTATTTATAACTTAGCACCCATCCAATTTTAGCTTTATGAATTTTAGCAGCTATACAATGCCGTTTGCAATGAATTTTGTTACCTTTGTAGAAATTATTTTCTCAAATTATTTTCTCAATTCACACTTTTTTAGAATTCATAAATCCTCTATTCTTTGCTGTTGCTCTCTTAAAGTGAAGTAGTTTGTATCAGGTTCAAATCTTTATTAAATTGCCATTATAAATAACATCGTCAAGTAATCAGGAGTCCGAATCCTCTGAAATGGGCTTATGATCAGTATTACTTTATTAAGAATTACCTTTCATTTTCTTACTATTATTTTTCTTGTATAGATTATATTTAATAGGTTTTGCCCCACAATTTCACTTTAAGATATTTTACTTAAATTGATATACTTATTATATAAACATTTGAAAAGGTAACCAGTATAAACTGTTAATGTAAATAATTGGTGCTCACTTGCATTTATGTTTATTATCTTAAAGAAATTGACAGATTTTTCATCTTTAAAGCACTGCCATATTTGTCTTTTAAAGAAAATTAGACATATGTATAGCTCAGATTGATGGCATTCTTCCTATTTTGTGTTAGTATTTTTTAATTTGGTTTTTCTGATTTGCCCTTCTAACTTCTAGGAAATCATTTTAGTCATCTTTTATATACTCTTAGCTCCATGTAGAAAAATAATTGTTAGTGTTAAGCTTGTAGGACTGGGTGAATGGGGTTGTGAAACTGATTTGTCAGGAGACTAATGTACAAAAAACAAGTGTAATACTGGAGATGGTGACATGAATATTAGGGGAAACATCTTAGTGAAATTCCAGTGTTCCCTTAAGTCATTTATAATTAAAGTGTGAAAATACAAAGAATTGATCTTAAAGAAGATCACAAGACATGCCAAAAGCTGGTATTTTAGAAACTCTAAAATGTTTTCAATCCATTCTAAACTACATTATAGCTGATAAAATTTCTTCTTCTGCAGATTCTAGTAAATTAATGAATTCAACTTTTGCGTCAGCTGCAATGTTGGAATGTAGCTCTTTTCTTGAGACTGTAGTTGGCATTATTTGGTACTACCTGAAAAAGAGTTTCAGACTCTATTGGCTATTGATGGAGAGTATTACCCATGGTGCTTATTATTACGTGCTTCCATTTAGGTGATTACTTTGTGTTCATAGCAGCACAGCCAGTTCCAAAGTCCCCAGTGTCTGCTGCTGTTTTTTTAAACTCCCCTGATGTACCTGAACAAGAAAGTCTCCTCATCATTTCCTTGTGTTTGGACATCAAAGGGTTGACAAATGCACTTATTTTACAGGAAGTGATTTTAAAATTTAAACTGAAAACTACCTGGGATCATAGTGTTTCTCTGATATTATATAATTATGTATAGTTATTATCCAGTGCTAGAAAAACCATAACCTGCAAGATACTTAGCATTCAAAAGTATTCTATTTCCAATTATTAATGACTCTGCTTTCTTTTGACTACTTGATTTACAAAATGATCTGATATGACTACTCCACTGAAGAGCAAAGGTAACTCATGTTTAAGTAATTAACTGCTTGTGTTAAGTGGAATCATGGATAGCATTCATTCATTGCAAGACAGTGAAGGATATAATTTACGGTATATTGATTTTTAAGTGTTGCCTTAAATAGGTGTATATGAGCAGTAGTAATTGCTATGTACTGATTTACCTCAAAGTGCAAAATAATTAAACCTGTGCATATTCCATTTACAAAATAAATTCAAACAACCCTGCACTTTCTTAGATGCCTTGATTTTTCAGAATGGAGCTTAGTGCTACTGAATACCCTGGCCACAGAGCCATCTCAGGATGTTCTTTTCTCCACCCTATTTTATTTATTTATAGATGTCTGTTTACAAAGACTATAATAAATTCTGATGTTAACCATCTGAAATTTACCTTCAGTTGCTGTTTCGATCTAAAATAGCAGCTTTTGAGAAAATGAGCTGAGTTCCTTACAATAAAAGGATAACTATATATTTTTAATATTAGATATGCTGATACATACAACTTTCTAAAGCATATTTGTGTGTGTGTGTCTCTGTGTGTGTGTGTGTGTGTGTGTGTGTGTGTGTAGTTAGCAATCTTAAATCTCTTATGTTGTTTAAAGCTGTGGCATATCTATGTTCGGACTTGCCAAGTCTTTTGTAAAATGTGTTGGATAAAACTTTTATGTGCTAATGCATGTATTTATAAAGGAGATTTGTTTACCACTCAAAATTAATAATTTTTGTTTTCTTCATCCAAAAACATTTCTGTTTTCCACAAACTCAAAGTTTCTGTGTGAGTATACTAGTTGACTTTTTCCTTTCACAAAGGTGGGTTCAAAATTCTGTAAAAAAAAAAAAAAAAGAAAAGAAAAAGAAAAGAAAAAAAGAAAGAAAAACCCAAAAAAACAAAAAAAACTGGTCTCTGAAACTGAGGTATAATACCAGAGTTTGCTATTTAAAGGGTTTTTATCATGTACATCAGTTCTGTAAATGTGCTTGATAGTTTAACATGTGAAACATCTGTTTCAGAGTGCTCAGATTTTGGATATATAAGCCATCAATATAACATTGCAGTTGAGACTGTTTATTTTAAATAACTTAATGTTTTAACTTTATTTATGTAGATTCACATCATTGTTACCATATACAGTACAAATATGTGAAACGTCTTTTCTTTTATTCCAACAATTATTTATTTTTAGAAAGTAAATTTAAAGACTTTAAGGACATTTAAGGTTTAAAATAGTATTCAGATTTCAAAATTTGGCAATCTTAATGTAGTCTCTTCTAACTTTTCAGAAAGTAAAGTGTCAGTTTTAGAAAACATAGTTGAAAAAGGAATCATCTAAAGATTTTTTAAAAATTTGATTACCACATACTTAGAATAATTGTTAAGCCCCATGTTTGTTTGTAATCATTTTTTTGCACATTGATTGGTTTTGTGCTGTGGCTTTTCTTAATGTTGCTTTATTATTCAAGGTTTTTGTTTCTGTGGGGAGGGTCTTTCAATGTTTACTATGTTTAAATAAACAGAAATTGAATTTTATTGTTCATTTACGTAATCTTTGATACCTTGGTGTAATTTCACAGTATCGATAGAATTTTTATGACTTTTATAATTACAGTGATACTTGCTTTTGTAATAAAATCCAAAGTAAATTAAACGTTAAATTGTAGAACTGATATTTTTCATTTATATGAAGTCCCAGTCGTTATCCAAGTCTATAATGTGAACCATCCTGCCTTTCACAGTTGTTTCATAATTGTGAGAAGAAAACTATTTTTTGTAGATATTATTGAAGTTGAAAGAGCAATAAAAGTCTACTTAATAAGTTGCTGGCTATTGTCTTTACTTTGTATTTTATTGATAGGGTTGTGCATCTTTCTCAGTTTGAGAAGAGATAGGGGAAGAAAGGGAGTGATTGGTATGTCTTGCCTCCTAATAGTCATATGCTTTAGAAGAAGAGACAGGAAAGAAGAAATAAAAACAGTGAAACAAAATAGTGTTTCATAGTGTCATTTTCACAGTTAAGAAATACTGAAAATATCCTTTGTTAATACTGGCCTGACCTCTGTCAGCCTTTTCCATTTTCTCTTACTTTAAAATTAAAATTGGTTGCTGTTAAAAAAAAAAAAGTTGAAAATAAAGTCCTTTTTAAAAAATTGGTTTATTTTTTCCCCATTTTAAGACTACTTTGCTGGGTGATGTGTAATGATTTGAGTAATCCTGACATTACAGGCAGGTTCTGCTTGCTTTTCTTTTTTGTTGTTAATTTATTACAATTTTTTTTTTCCATAATAGCGTTGTCTGTTTTCTTTACAGCATGTATCTGTCAATATCTCCATCTGCCTGTATGTACTATGCTCATGTGTTTTTTGTAGTGAGAAACTTCTGGTACTTCTATCAGTTTGATAACATGATAGTATGATGGGTTAGGGTGTTTATGGTTTTGGAAGTTTCATGTAAAAGTTTTAGAAAAATACTATTGTCAATTTTTAATTCCCATCTATTAATACCAATTTTTTTAACTGGGGAAAGAAGAAAAGGAACCATAATTTTCTCATTTCTGTTTGATCTGACCTTGACATTCCAGTTTCTACACTTTAATGTAACACTTTTCTATTATTTGGAAAACCTGCTTTTCTTTCTTTTTTGTTGTTGTTTTTTTTTTTTTTTCTGGGACCGGGAATCGAACTCATGACCTTGCGCCTGCCAGGCAGGCGCTGTGCCACTGAGCTAAATCCTCAGCCCCCCCTGCTGTTTTTTCAAAGCTTATTTACTTCCTATTGCACAGAACCTTTCACTTTCAAGTCTGCATCATTCTTCACTTTAAGTGTGTGGGAGGTGAGTGTGTATCGTGTACCTTTTTTTTTTGCCTTTAAACCATTGGTCTAGAGGGATTTGAGAAGTTTGGGGAAGTGATTTGTCTTGAGTTGACCCTGATTATCTAAGGATTTATGTTACTTTTGTTTTCTATGCTGTAGTTAGGATTTTGTATTGTTTTACTTTTCAACTATGTGATTGACATAGTTCAAATGAATGAAATGTACATTCATTTTAGGATAGTAAAAACATATTAGAAAACAAAGGTAGTATCAACTCTCAGGTTTGAGTCGTCCTACATAAACTGTAAGGGCTAGCGCAAGCATGACCGCTTTGGGATTTTACACGTCGTCACCTTCTTGCAGAGCACAGTCTGAACCTTAACACTTGGAAATAGTACCTTTCTCATAAAACCAGTGTCTTTGATACCTTTCTCATAAAACCAGTGTCTTTGATACCTCTTACGTCTACATATGTTAAGTCATTTTTAGGGAAGGCCAAAATAATAATCAGAGACACTTTTGTTTTTGTTTTTTGTTTTTTTACAGAGCAGTAGATGAGAAACACATTCCATCTACTGATGAATATGAAGAGTTAAGAGTCACTGCACCTCAGGACTTAAGGATTAGAATATATGTGTAGAATTTTTTTTTTACTCAGCACCAATCCTTCCTCCTTGTCACATTTTTTGGTGTTTTCTTTATTGGCAACATTAATTCTGATGGTTTTATGCTCTCTGAATTTTAACTAGTTCTGTCATAGTCCCCCAAACTTGGCTTTCATCTTACCTTCTGCATTCCTAAAATAAGATCCTATTTTTAAATTTAAAATGTGCTTGATTAATTACACAAATCCAGTTACTGTTATCCCACTGGGTTACTTATTATTCAAAACAAGCATCAAGTCGTGGTTCATTCTAAATCAAATTTTGGGGAATTTCAGCAAGTGTTGACACTAGTGTGCATTCAGAATGACAAGATGAGCCTGAGTAAGACCCGGTACCTGAAGAAATCGTTGAGGAGGTATCCTTGTGATTGAGGCAGGGCTTTACCGTCACTCTGTAGATTCTGCTCTGCCTCCATCACTTGGTCCCTGTTATGTAGGACTCTAGGAAATGGCCTGCTTATTACTCGGGAGTGAAAAATAATGACTACCAGATGGTGTGAACAAAATAGTATGAGGAAAGAATTTTAAATAGGGGGGGCAAAAAAATTGAGCACTCTACATTTTATGTTCATTTTTAAAGCTCCATGATGTCAAGTGTCTTGAGGCTTTATGTAACACTACGCATTATTTTTTTTTATTTTTTATTTTTCAAAAGAAGCTACAGACTCTCAAAAGTTGAAGTGACTTGTCCAAGGATACAAAATGAACTAGTGATAGTTGTACCATACCGTACAAATCCCTTGATTCACTTACTTTCACAGCACCATTTTCTCACTGCCTGAGACAGGCAGTACTGAGTAACTGAAAATGTTTTGTGCCATGTGAAAGGTATTTAGCACATTGCACTGATTTTTCGTCAAATGAAATTTTTGCTGTGGAGGTGATCTGACAGTCTATCGATTCTCGAAAACACTGCAAAATGAAACTGCGCTTTCCCATCGTTTCTGTTTTTAAAACCAGAGATTGAGCACCCTAAATCCAGAAAAATCTACAACGAGAGGAGACTGGTTCACAAGCAGTCATAGTTAATGGCAAAAGCTGCAGCACACCTTTAAGCACCACCTACCGCCTCTTTTGCTGGCAGCCTCAGAGTTGGACCCTGAGCATTCTCGGGTTGCTGCGGCAACTGTGGCCGGCGTCATCCGTCGCTATGGCGCTCTGCACTTGGCAGCATAACTGTTTCCCATTGGCTGATATCTCAGCAAGTGGAAGAAGAACTATCGTCATTGGCTCGGCCAGCACCGGTTAGTGGCCTAAGGGAAGCGATTGAAAACCCAACGGTGCAGCTAGGCTGGTCGGTCTCAGTGCACCCAAGGCTGAGGGGACCGGGTGAAAACTAAGGGGCGGGTGGGACCCCGACCCAGAGCAGCGAATGACTGTACCAGTGACAATGAGAACAATTTGAAGATCGGCCTGAAGGAGGGATCGTCCCTCCAGCGCGGTGAGTGGGGCAGGAGTTGTGCACCTCTGTGCCAGCGTGCCGTTTGAAGCAGGGTCTCCGGGGAGATACCCTCGGGTCCTTGTGGCACAGCGGCGAGGCCTCGGAAGCTAGCTTCTGTCATGAGTTAGGGACAGAATTCAGACTGTCTCTCTCTTAGGTGAGTCAGTGTTGAGGCAGACTTCTAAGCCGATGGGGTTGAATGGGGTGGATGGATGATGGGGAAAAGTGCCATTGACAATGTTTTCAACGATGCTTCCAGTTCGATAAAGGAATTATTCTGATTAAGCAAAACCTGCTTCAGTGCCTCTGGAGGCTCATTCTTAATCTCCTTTGTGAGCATCACTTTTCTGCCTTCCCTTGGCCTGATACTGTTCTGGCTTTGCCCCGTGTCTTTCTGCTCCAGCTGGATGAATTTATTCACATCCATGCTTTCAAGCACCGTTTTTCTGTTGATGACCAGTAAGTCTCCACCTCCTGCCTCGACTGCTCCCTTGAGAATCAGATCCCAAGACCCAACTGCCTGTTAACTCACACCAGCCCAAATGCCATTTTTCCGCACCCCGACCAGGTGCTACTGCCCTTGGATTCCCGATCTTGGGCACCACCATCTATCTAAAACCATATGCTGGGCACCACCATGTCCTTGACACCACCTCTTCCTCTGCATCTCCATCGATTGTCAAGGCTATCCTGTCTTAACAGATGTTGGATCGATTCTCACGCTACTATCTCCATTCTGACTATCAAATTCCACTAGTGCCTTAGTTAAATTTAATTTTAGCCATATATCTGGCTTCCCTGGGTTTAGTCTGGCCCTATTTAACCCATTTCTCTCACTACTGTTAACCCCATCTCAAAATTAGAAAGGGGTTGGAGATGTAGCTCAGTGTGAAGGCCCTGGCTTCAATCCCCAGTACCAGACAAAAAAGTGTAAATGTATTTCCTTTCCCTAGAATCTTGCAAATATCTTCCATTAGCCTAATCCAGGCATCAGTTAAACCTTCCACTGTTCCATCTTGGCTGTTCCCAGGACATGCCACATTTGCTCTTGTGTGGATTTATTTGACTTCTTGTTTATACTGCCTGGAATGGACTTTTTTCTTTTCTTTTTATGCACACACTCTACTCATGGTAGTATTATCCGTGTTTTCCTACTTTTCTACACTCTCTGTGAAGGCAGGTGCTGCGTTTGTCTTACCATTATCATATTACCAGCATCTGGCTGAGTACCAGGCACATAGCAAGTGCTAACGAATTCTTGTTAAATGAACTTCTGGCCAATGAAGCTTTTGTTTACAGAAGATGGCTATTGATTTTGCAGGTTTATTTTAATTTTAAGATCTTTGGTAGTTGGAAACTATTTCGAGTCAGTACATATTTTATGCCTTAGTAATTTTGATGTTAACTGTTTCTATATGGTGTCTTAGTTACATTCTCATAGCTGAGACACAACAGCCAATGCCCACAACTATAAAGAGGAAAGGTTTATTTTAGCTCACGGTTTGTAGAGATTTCAGTCCATAGTGGGTTCCAATGCAGGGCAGCATGGCAGAGGGCCAAGGCAAGGAGGCTTGCTCATGGCATGGCAGCAAAGCAGAGTGAGCAGAGAGATCCACAGAGGTGGGAGGGAGACTAATCCATCTATGTGTATCATTTCCCCTGATCCAGTCATCTTCCCAAAGCGCCTGTGTCCTAGAAACTGCTCTTGGTTGAGTCAGAAGATTCAGTGCACCTATGAGTGCATGAGGCTTTGGCAGGGCATCTAGATATAAACCATAACATACGGCCTGAGTTAGGATTATTGAAAAGAGTCACAGTACAATATGGTTGGCAAGAAATAGACTTTGGAGCTCTGCATACAAGGGTTTGAGTGCTAGGTCTAACATTTTAGCTCTGTGGTCCTCTAACCAGCTTTTTAAATCTGTACAATGGACTGATAATAACACCTGCCTCAAAGAGTTGTTTTAAAGATAAAATGTTCATATTCCATACCAAGTACCTAGTACCTTATACCTATGTATCCATTTTCATATTTAAACACATCCCTGCTGGCTTGAACCACGGGGGGTACATGATGACTGTCCCACTGCGTGGTTTGTACCACTCGATGGGACAGTCGTTCATGTACCACCAGAGATTCAGAGTTGCCCAGCAGTGAGACATACAAATTACATAGTGAACATATTAAAACTAAAAGCACTGAATATTAGAGTTGTGAAATTTCCATAGTCAGTTACTAAACAGTAAAATAAACTTTTTATTCAATCAAGAGCAGTTTCTAGGACACCATCTTGTCATACTACTTGGTCATGAGCTTGTGTGTATGGTAGCAGCTCTGATACAGGTAACAGATTCATGCATGCAGTGAGTATGTTTGGACCATGTGGTGGGTCAGGGCTACATGCCAGATGAGGGTGAGTCTAAAGAAAGTGCAGCCTACAGTATTTAGGAGGTTAAGAAGGACCTGGAACATTGCTGTCCATGTCAGAGCCAGTTGTACTTTGAATTTGAAGTTAGAGTGAAGGGAGCTGAGCACACATTTAAACATCAGTAAGTATTTCCTGAGCACCTGGGTATTCAGCAGTAAACACAACGAAGGCACAGTGCTCTTCTAACTGTGGTTCCAGACAGTGGAGCTGGTTCTAGAGGACTCAGACTCTCCAATCAGAATAGCTAGGTTCACATCCTAGCTTCCCACCACTCAATATGGCAACTTACTTGCTCTTTTAACACCTTAGGTCTTCACTTGTAAAGAGGCGTGGTTGTAAAGCTTCCATGAATTCACACAGGCACATTTCAGAGGCTAGCAGCAGGTATAGGGGAAACACCATGTGTTAGCTATTTGTAGTATGTTCTACATGGAAGAGATGGATAAGTAAACAGAAAGCAGGATGAGGGAACAAAGTATTGTTTGAGGCTAGTGTGGCCTTGGTAATAAGCCTTATATTTTGGGGAGATTTGATCTTCTAGTAGAAAATGAACTCTAAATATACTCATGTGACTGACATGAATCAAGACACTAGGAAGAAAAAAGAATATAAGCACTGAAGCAAATGCATCATTTCTCATTTGGTAAAGTAATTACTCCCACTTTTTATGAGTCTTCCCTTCATTTCAGCTAAAATCGTGAAGAGTCATAATGAGAATCCTGAACTTAAGGGCTTACTAAATCTTATATTGGGGATATTTACAATGGACATGACTCCTAGCTTCAAAACAGTCAGCAGGTCACAGTAATAAAAGTGATAACTGGGGCCAGAGATGTAGCTCAGCGGCATAAGAGCTTGCCTGGCAAGCCTGAAGTCATGAGTTTGATTCCCGGTACCAAAAAAATTTAAAAAAAAAAGTGATAACTGACTGGCTCATATCTAGAAAAGAGACAGTAAAAACTCTCCTGTAGGAATTAAAAACTAGAGGCAGAGCAGACAAAACACAGCAACTGCAATATTGACTCCGGGCCATCAGGGAAAAACTGTACCGTATTTAGAGTAGTTGGCCAAAGAGAGCAAATTGCTGATTGATTTGAAGGAAGTATATAAAAAGTATATTTGCTTATTAAAGAGATTAATATTTATCTAGAAACCTCACTCAGACGGAGTGCTAGACGAATGGCATTTGTCATCAGTGAGTCAAAATGCATATAGACCAATGATTTAAAAGAGCACAAGGTCCTCAAACTGAAGTAGTAACATTACAAGTCTGTCCTAATACCATGTTGTTGTACTAATATTATTTCTAATTTTTGTTATGTGAGAGGACTTATAATCAGAGAGGTCCAGAGACCCAGGTCACTCAGTGGAATGAAATGAAACCAGAACTTTTCTGCCTCCATTGCTCCTTTTAATCATATCCCAAGGGTCTAGTCCTGGGTTATGGGTCTAGCCTTGCGTCTATCCTTGGGTCTAGCCTTTCACAAGAATTCACATCCCCTGACTTGTGCCTCATATTAGTGGAGACTAAGGCATTCATATAGTAATGTACACGTGTATGCTTGCACTTGACCTGACCTGAATACATTCTTTTGCTTTAGGAAGTTTTATTGTCCTGTTCAAGACAGATGAGTTAGTTCATATTTAATATGAATATAATATATTCTTTGTGACTTCCTTATACTTATAAAGGATTTTTTTCAAACCAACATGGATATTGGTCAGATGGGACAAAGTTGTAATGTCTTGATTCTTTTTATTACCTTTATCCTCCATATCTAAATAGTGATACTCCAGTTATATTTGGAACTTCCCAGTCACATTTTACTGAGGATTTGTTCATTAATTAATACATTCAGTAATTTAAAAAATTTTTTTGAGACAGGGTCTCGCTGTGCAGTTCAGGCTGGTCTTGAGCTCACTTTGTATCCCAGGCTGCTCTCAAACTTGCAATGATCCTCCTGCCTCAGCCTCCTAAGTGCTGGGATTACAGGCGTGTGCCACCACACCTGGCCAGTAATTTTTCATTGAATACATCTTTTTATATAAACTGTGACTCATGTGCTACATGCAGGAGATGAACAAAAAGACCATCTTCTCTATGCCTGCCTCGTTTGCAGTGAACTAGCGAAGATATTTATTGAGTTATTGCCTGAATCTGCAAAGCTACAGCTCAGTGCTTGGTGGACCTGCGATCCTATCGAAAAGGTCTGCTCAAAGAATAGATACTCGAGTTGACCAGAAAGATGAGCCTTCCAGCCTTTTGGTACTGATCCAGCCCTTAGGTCCAGGAGTAAAGGCCCTGGAGCACCCAGGAAAAGCAGCTCTGGAGCCAGGGTTTAGGATCCAGTGCAAGGCAGCTGGCTAGGAAGGCAGGGTACCAACTGCATCACTACCTTGGTAAGTTTTGCTTCTATCTTTAAAGAAATGGGAAGCGATAAAGGCTTAATTGGTTCCTTATACCATAAAAAAGAGAGATTTGTCCTGTGTTTAGAAGAAGGAGAAATTGGAAGTTGGGAGACACATAAGCCAATGGTTGTGATAGTGGCGGTAAGTGATGACGTAGGTTTG